GTGCTTAACTTGTTGTTAAACTCACCTCTACTAAACACGGTGTTTATGGTAGACTGAGTAAATGGCAACTACAAATCAAAATTTACTTCAAGCTACACTTGTTATTCAACAAACGACTATAAAGTTTTGGTGACTACGAGATGATAGTAATAAACATTAGAACTAGTTTTAAAAGCAAATTTGGGAACGAAAATCACCCAATAAACGTGGCTTTTATTATGCACAATCAGTATAAATTGTACCTGCACCTCAAAATATTAGTTTAAACTCGATCAACAAAAGACGATAAATACAGTAAATGCGATATAAAAACAATCCTGAAATGGATTATTTTCTATAGAATACTTTTCTTGAAACGTTTAAATTAAACGTCAATTGTTTCAAGACTCTGCACTCAATCTAAATTTTTTTGGGTACTTTTTTAACATAGTGTTACGTTGTTCGGTGAATAAAATCGGCGTGGGTAAAACCCAACAATTTATTTCTTAATACTTCTTCTCTTTCCGGTGCTCTTTATAGGCTTCCCGGTCTTCAGTTTTTCTAGTGTTTTTTGCCCTATTGAAAAATTTTCTTAGCCCCGATAGGAGAAGGCTGAGCCTTCGGTTTCATCATAGTGTACCTTTGCCCAGGCCTTCCTTCATTAGGGGGCAAATTTTCTCATAAGCTGACATTAGAGAGTCGTTGATTATGTTCTCTAGAGGTAGTTTCCCGCCTTCTCGTCCTCTTTTTCGTTTCAGCTACCAGAGGTGTGGAGGTTGAAGGCCGCACTCTCTTTATTGACCCTGAGGTCTTTCTTTCCCCCGGGTTGTTTGCCCTTTGCTCTTAGGGTTTATCCTCGCCACCTCCGCTTGCAATCGACCCTTCCTCCGCCTTTTTACCTCAGCCTCTTAGGAAGCTGTGACCCCACATTGGCTGGGTTTTCCGTTTGAGGTGCACCCGAAGGCACTTCCTCAGTGGGTTTTTTGTTTTTATTATCCACCAAGCCGACAACCACCAAGGCATGTCCAGGCAAGAAGAGCCTCCGTCCTAACCTACATATCTGGAGAAGGGAAAAAATCCAGGTCAGACTTTCACTACCCCCAGGAGGGTTTAGTTCCGGGGGGCATTTCCGCCCACCCTAGATCTCCCTTCCCCAGGACTTGTCCGGCTCTTCGTAACATTCGTTGGACTGGACACGGCTGAATGATAATCGTTTCCGAAGGTGGCGTCTATTTAATCCCATACTTGTGCGTTCGAAGTCTTTCTCGAATATCCATCGCGACATCTGCTTCGGGGCTAGTATCTGCTAAGATAAGACTGAATTTATCTAATGAGATACCTTCCAAGAAAAGAGAGGGTGGGTGGGCGGGGCTAGTACCTGCTACTATAAGACTGACTTTGGCAAATGAGATCTCTCTTAGAAAAGAGAGGGCGGGTGAGTGGGGCTAGCATCTGCCAAAATCAGATTTATCTTAACAGGTACTAGCCCCACCCACCCACCCTCTCGTTTCTTAAAAGGTATGTCATCTGCCAAAATCAGTTTTATATTAGCAGATACTAGTGCCACCCACCCACCCTCCCTTTTCTTACAAGGTTTGCCAATATCAGTTTTATCTTAGCAGCTACTACCTAGGACAAGACTGATTTTGGCAAATCACATAGTTTCCAAGAAAATAGAGGGTGGGTGGGCGGGGTAGTAACTGCCAAGATAAGACTGATTTTGGCAAATGAAATATCCTCTAAGAGAAGTGAGGGCGGGTGGGCGGGGCTATTATCTGCTAAGATAAGACTGAATTCATCTAATGAGATACCTTCCAAGAGAAGAGAGGGTGGGTGGGCGGGGCTAGTACCTGCTACGGTAAGACTGATTTTGGCAAATGAGATCTCTCTTAGAAAAGAGAGGGCGGGTGAGTGGGGCTAGCATCTGCTAAATCAGATTTATCTTAACAGGTACCTAGCCCCACTCACCCACCCTCTCGTTTCTTAAAAGGTATGTCATCTGCCAAAATCAGTTTTATCTTAGCAGATACTTGTACCACCCACCCACCCTCTCGTTTCTTACAAGCTATTTCATTTGCCAATTTCAGTTTTATCTTAGCAGCTACTACCTAGGACAAGACTGATTTTGGCAAATCACATAGTTTCCAAGAAAATAGGGGGTGGGTGGGCGGGGCTAGTAACTGCCAAGATAAGACTGATTTTGGCAAATGAAATATCCTCTAAGAGAAGTGAGGGCGGGTGGGCGGGGCTAGTATCTGCTAAGATAAGACTGAATTCATCTAATGAGATACCTTCCAAGAAAAGAGAGGGTGGGTGGGCGGGGCTAGTACCTGCTACGATAAGACTGATTTTGGCAAATGAGATCTCTCTTAGAATAGAGAGGGCGGGTGGGTGGGGATAGCATCTGCTAAAATCAGTTTTATCTTAGCAGCTGCTAGCCCCGCCCACCCACCTTCTCTTAGGGTATGTCATTTGCCAAAATCACTTTTATCTTAGTAGCTACTAGCCCCACCCACCCGCCCTCTCTTTTCTTACAAGATATGTCATTTGCCAAAATCACAGCTACTAGCTAAAATAAGACTGATTTTGGCAAATGACATACCCTTTAAGAAAAGAGAGGGTGGGTGAGCGGGGCTAGTATCCGTCAAGATAAGACTGATTTTGGCAAATGAGGTACCCTCTAAGAAAAGAAAAGGCGAGTGGGCGGGGCTTGACAGCGTTTTGAGATTCTAGCGATTCGAGAAACGTTAGATTTTAGAGATTCTAAAGATTCTGAAGATTTCAAGAATTTGAGGATTCTCAAAATTATAAATAAATATTCTAAAGATTTCAAAAATTCCAGAGATTCCACGAATTCCAAAAATTGCGAGGTTAGAGATTTCAAAAAGTCTACATATTCTGAAAATTTTGAATATTCTATATGTTCTACAGATTTTACAGTTTCTAACGGATCTAGATTCCAAATAACTTAAAATTTCCAATATTTCGGAAACTGAAATACCAAAAATTTTGAGGAATTTTCGAACGCCGCTTCGAGACTTACTTGTCTTTATGCGACCGCTGCTCGGCCGTCCTGAGTGATGAGTAGGCTTCGGATCTTAGGTTTTTTGCCTTTTTATATCTACTTAGGCATTGCAGCGAAATTTATATATTTATCCGAATTTAAAAAATTCTGTTTATTTAACGCCCATTTATTACTACCTAAAATGCCTAATTTACCGTTAGAGACCTAAAGTGTTAATTAAACGACCTAATTGTAAATTTTAAAAGGCTTAAAATAGGATTCCACGACCAACGAAGCGGACGCTGGCCTGCATTTCATTTAGATTATAGCCGGAAGGAGGTGAATCTCTGAAAAAGCATTTTATTTTAGAAGTTTATTGTTAGTTATAGTGAGTGTCTTTGCGTGTTAGTGAGTGTGCTGGGGCCGGTTTTCATTTTTGTGCATACAGTAAAGAATCCTCAAAATGCCTAAGGTAAAATCACCATGAAAGACAAAATAAAATTATGGTTAGGGAATAATTTGGACGCTAATTTTCAATTTCCTTCTTCAACCAAAGACAATGAGTTATTCTGCAAAGTGTGTGGAAAAGTTGTAAGTAAACATTTAAAATAATGACGCTTTAATTATGTTAACATTTTTGTTTCCTAGTTTAAGTGCGAAAAAAAATCACACTTTGAACAACACTGCAGTGGCGATGCACATATAAAGAACAAGAATAAATCCAGTAAACAGACATTATTAAACATTAGTTCCGACAATGATTTTACGCAATTTTGCACCGATTTATGTAGAGCATTTACAAATATTCCATGGAATAAAGTTAGTTGTAAACAAGATAATTAAACATAAAGCGATTCATCTGCTATTCTACGAATCTAATCACCTCATGAGCACTAGTTGTATTTCCTGCTTTAAGGTCTTGTGAAGGTCCCTTGAATTAATGAAAATATTTTGCACGGCTGAGAATGATAAAATGGTGATGGTTCGTCAAAGATCAAGAAAGTTAAAGGTGATGTATATTTAACGATAAATCTTGTCTATAGCGAGAAATTGTGTTACTTTTTGTAACTTTTCTTATCGACTTTTCTTAATTTTGTGTTAATCGACGAAATACAAGAATCTTATTTTAGAAGTATTTTTAATGAATTATGATTTTGTTTAATTTAATTAGTTAAATTGTTATTGTATGTATAAGCTAGTACTGCTCCCAAAAAAATCGTCGAAAAAATATTTCCTAGAATATCATTTCAAGCTCCATGTCTTGTCAAACAAAAGACATGTATAGTGGTCATAGAAAAAAAAACCTGAAGTTGTGATGAAATTTTTACTAAGGAAGATCCATTACAAAAGACAATGCTGGAACTCGTGAAGTATTAGTAATAATTGTGTTTTGATACATCTCTTAGTAAGCCCCTGATGCACTGCTCAAATTTTAAAGACGTCATTTCTGGAGTCCTCTGATTTATGAAACACCGCTGTTGTATATGATGTTGCATCGCCGGACTGATATTCCTTTCCGTGAGGTATTTTTTTATTGGGCCAAGCAGCAAGGCGCCTGCTTTAGTTTGGAATCCGAGCACTCGATGGGTACACGAAAAATACGCTCCCAAATTTGGTATATTATAATCGCCTGCTTCTATCTTTTCCCAGATATCGTCGGTTACTCTTGACCTTTCCATGCAGTTAGGTATTGTTGTTCCATCGTGAGGTTCACAACACTATGACTGATAAAATAAAAAAATCAAATAAATAGGAGACTAAGTACCTGAATGTATGCGAAGAGGGAGACGAAGAGGATAGCGGTGATCTTCATTTTGGATCACCACACTCGATAGCTACCAAAAGTACTTAGCTTGTTACTAAACAGCGATTTCTACTAGCTATGTGGAAGACAGAGCTCGGTTTTTATAGTATACTGAGTAAATTGTATTAGCAAATCAAAATTTGCTTCAAGCTACACTTGTTATTCAACAAACGACTATAAAGTTTTGTTGACTATGAGATTATAGTAATAAACTTTAGAAGTAATGGAATGTTTATTGATGTTTAAAATACATAGTGTTATTAAAAATCGGCAAAAATAGTTTCACATATTAACAAAAAACTTACTTCCAGCTAAGAACTGAAGTTCTCACTACATTTTTAAATTTAACTAAAGGTAAATTCTTTATATGTTCTGCCAATTTATTAATAGTTATTTAATAAACTAGTTTGTTAATGAAGGTGTAACTATGGTTTAATAAAATTTTCCGGACAAAAATGATCAAGATAATTAAGCAAACACACACTTAATTCGTTTTTGAACGCAAGATCTTGTCGGCGCATTTCCTAACTTCCACAGCGGTCTTTTCTGGAGACTCGTGGTTCTCGAAACACTCCTCTGCCACCTTTTGTACCAGTGCGTCATCGTACTTTTCCTTCAACTTAGCTTTGATGTTGTCACCCTGCAACTCGCCTGCTTCGTTTTGGAATTTGACCACTTTATGGACACACAACAAATAAGCTGCCAGTTTGGGGTTGTCATATTTATGGGCTTTCAAGTCTCCCAAAATTTCCGGGGTGACACCTGACTGCTGCTCACACGCTGTTACAGCTTGTTCGTGTGCGATATCCCCGGTACACTAATGGTCAATCAAATAAGTAAGGCAGAGAAAATAAAGAGGACTGAGTTACCTGACTGTACACGCAGAAGGCGACGAAAAGAACTGCAAGGAACTTCATTTTGGACGACGACGATGTCTGGTGGTACGCTGATTTAAATAGGATTTTGGGTGTGATAAGAGAGTGATAAATGAGTTAAAGGTGATGTCGATAATGCAAAAAATTATCAGAAGAGATTTTTTATTTGGATGTTTGTTGTTTTGTTGCAGCTTTTCGTGACTGTAGGGGAACATGGAGTATCTGTAGGAAATAATAGACACTGAAAAACAAAGAACTTGAGGAATACCTGTGGGAACGAATAGACAGAATTCAGCAGAAAGCCAAAAAAATCATATTAGATAAACAAGGTTCCTGGGAGTGATAAGACGGTGACAATGATAACAAATCAGAAAAGTTAAAGGTTATGGAAGTTCAGTGGCTAATTACTATTGTTTTTGATAGCCAGAAAAAACATCTGAGAAGTCTCATGTGATTGCCTAGCAGTTATCGAATCAACCAATTATAGCATATTTAATTTTAAGTTAGTATAAAGCTGCTTTTGGGTTATCACTAAATTTACCTATACTGATTTAAATTTTATGGATACATCTGGTTTCAATGTCAATACGACTTTAGATACTGGTTTTATGTTATGTGGACAAAAAATTCACGTTTTTGTGAACTTTGCTAACCCACAAAGATAAGTCGTTATGTAATTGAAGTTGACAATAAAGTTATCAAAATTTTATTAATTCTTTTAATTGCCTGATATTATATCTTTTATTCAAATCATAAACGCAAACAGTTTCAGGAAAAGCCATCCGTCTTGAAGTAAACCCATTATTATAATATATATTATCATACAGAGTGACAATTAACTCATGTTTCTATGTATTTATCTGTGCTACATATAAATTATTGCCAAAATCACTCTTACCTTGGAATGTACTGGCGCCGCCCACCCACCCTCTTTTTTCTTAGAAGGTATATCATTTGCTAAAGTCAATCTTATCTTAACAAGCAGTAGCCCCGCCCACCCACCCTCTTTTTTCTTAGAAGGTATAACATTTGCCAAAATCAGTTTCATCTTGGCAGGAACTATCCCAGCCCTCAACCCTCTCTTTTCTTAAAGAGTATGTCATTTGCCAAAATCGGTCTTATTTTAGTGCAAGTAATAACTCCGCCCACCCGTAGAGAGATCTCATTAGCCAAAATTAGTATTATCCCAGCAGGTACTAACCCCGCCCACCCACCCTCTCTTTTCTTAGAGGGTATATCATCTGATAAAATTAGTCTTATCCTAGCTAGTAGTTAAAACTGATTATAGCAAACGAAATACCCTCAAAGAAAACAAAAGGCGGGTGGGCGGGGCCAGTACTTTTTAAGATAAAACTGATTTAGGCGAATGACATTTTATCTTCTAAGAAAATAGAGGAAGAGTGGGCGGGGGTTGTACTTGTTAAGACAAGACTGATTTTCACGGTTAACATATCCTCTAAGAAAAGAGAGGGTGGGTGGGCGGGGCTAGTATTTACTAAGATGATAGTAATTGTGGCCAAGGGCATATCTTCCAAGAAAATAGAGGGTGGGTGGGTGGGGCTAGTATTTGTTAAGATAAGACTGACTTTAGCAAATGATACCTATTTTCTTAGAGGGTATATCATTCGCCAAAATCAGTGTTATCTTAGCAAGTATTAGCAAGGACTGGTCATAGAAAACCTGATGTTGTGATTAAATTTTCTACTAAGGAAAATACATTACAAGAGACAATCCTGGAAGCTGTGAAGTATTAGTTAAAATTGTATTTTTGATCTCATATTAAGCCCCTGACGCACTTCTCAAATTTGATAGACGTCATTTCTGGAGTCTTCTGGTTTATGAAACACCGCCGTTTTATATCACGTTCCATCTCCCGACTGAGACCCTTTTCCCTGAAGTAGTTTATTATTGCGGTAGTCCGCAACAGGCCTGATTTAGTTTGGAATCCCATCACTTGATGGGTACACAAAAAATACGCTCCCAAATTTGGTATACTAAAGTTGCCTGCTTCTATGTCTTCCCAGATATCGTCGGTTAATCCTGACTTTTTCATACAGTCACTTACTGGAGATTCATCATCACAACACTATGACTGATAATATAAAACAAAAAAAAAAAAACAAATAAATAGGAGACTAAGTACCTGAATGTATGCGAAGAGGGAGACGAAGAGGGAGACGAAGAGGATAACGGTGACCTTCATTTTGGATCGCCACACTTGACAGCTACCAAAAAGGCCGTCATAAAATTAGATAACTAACTAATAGAGTGCTTAACTTCTTGTTAAACTCACCTCTACTAAACACGGTGTTTATGGTAGACTGAGTAAATGGCAACTGCAAATCAAAATTTACTTCAAGCTACACTTGTTATTCAACAAACGACTATAAAGTTTTCTTGACTACGAGATGATAGTAATAAACATTAGAAGTAGTTTTAAAGGCAAATTTGGGAAAGAAAATCACCCAATAAACGTGGCTTTTATTATCCACAATCAGTATAAATTGCACCTGCACCTCAAAATATTAGTTTAAGCTCGATCAACAAAAGGCGATAAATGAAGTTGTCGTAAACGCGATATAAAAACAATCCTGAAATGGATTATTTTCTATAGAATACTTTTCTTGAAACGTTTAAGTTAAACGTCAATTGCTTCAAGAATCTGCACTCAATCTAAATTTTTTTGGGTACTTTTTCAACATAGTGTTACGTTGTTCGGTGAATAAAATCGGCGTGGGTAAAACCCAAAAATTTATTTCTTAATACTTCTTCTCTTTCCGGTGTTCTTTATAGGCTTCCCAGTCTTCAGTTTTCCTAGTGTTTTTTGCTCTATTGAAAAATTTTCTTAGCCCCGATTGGAGAAGGCTGAGCCTTCGGTTCCATCATAGTGTACCTTTGTCCAGGCCTTCCTTCTTTAGGGGGCAACTTTTCTCATAAGCTGACATTAGAGAGTGGTTGAGTATGTTCTCTAGAGGTAGTTTCCCGCCTCCTCATCCTCTTTTGCTTTTCAGCTACCAGAGGTGTGAAGGTTGAACGCCGCACTCTCTTTATTGACCCTGAGGTCTTTCTTTCCCCTTTGCCCTTAAGGTTTATCCTGGAGGAGGATGGGCCCAGTTTCGGCGGGTCGGCATTCGCCACCTCCGCTTGCAATCGAGCCTTCCTCCGCCTATTTACCTCAGCCTCTTAGGAAGCTGTGACCCCACATTGGCTGGGTTTTCCGTTTGAGGTGCACCCGACGGCACTTCCTCAGTGGGTTTTTTGTTTTTATTATCCATAATGTTGGATTTTGTTGTTGTCTAAGCCGACAACCACCAACGTATGTCCAGGCAAGACGAGCCTCAGTCCTAACCTACATATCTGGAGAAGAGAAAAAATCCGGGTCAGATTTTCACTACCCCCAGGAGGGTTTAGTTCCGGGGGGCATTTACGCCCACCCTAGATCTCCCTTCCCCAGGACTTGTCCGGCTCTTCGTAACATTCGTTGGACTGAACACGCCTGAATGATAATCGTTTCCGAAGGTGGCGTCTATTTAATCCCATACTTGTGCGTTCGAAGTCTTTCTCGATTATCCATCGCGACATCTGCTTCGGGGCTAGTATCTGCTAAGATAAGACTGAATTTATCTAATGAGATACCGTCCAAGAAAAGAGAGGGTGGGTGGGCGGGGCTAGTACCTGCTACTATAAGACTGACTTTGGCAAATGAGATCTCTCTTAGAAAAGAGAGGGCGGGTGAGTGGGGCTAGCATCTGCCAAAATCAGATTTACCTTAACAGGTACTAGCCCCACCCACCCACCCTCTCGTTTCTTAAAAGGTATGTCATCTGCCAAAATCAGTTTTATCTTAGCAGATACTAGTCCCACCCACCCACCCTCTCTTTTCTTACAAGGTATTTCATTTGCCAATATCAGTTTTATCTTAGCAGCTACTACCTAGGACAAGACTGATTTTGGCAAATCACATAGTTTCCAAGAAAATAGGGGGTGGGTGGGCGGGGCTAGTAACTGCCAAGATAAGACTGATTTTGGCAAATGAAATATCCTCTAAGAGAAGTGAGGGCGAGTGGGCGGGGCTAGTATCTGCTAAGATAAGACTGAATTCATCTAATGAGATACCTTCCAAGAAAAGAGAGGGTGGGTGGGCGGGGCTAGTACCTGCTACAATAAGACTGATTTTGGCAAATGAGATTTGTCTTAGAATAGAGAGGGCGGGTGGGTGGGGCTAGCATCTGCTAAAATCAGTTTTATCTTAGCAGCTGCTAGCCCCGCCCACCCACCTTTTCTTTTTTTGGAAGGTATATCATTTGCCAAAATCACTTTTATCTTAGTAGCTACTAGCCCCACCCACCCGCCCTCTCTTTTCTTACAAGATGTGTCATTTGCCAAAATCACAGCTACTAGCTAAAATAAGACTGATTTTGGCAAATGACATACCCTCTAAGAAAAGAGAGGGTGGGTGGGCGGGGCTAGTATCCGTCAAGATAAGACTGATTTTAGCAAATGAGGTACCCTCTAAGAAAAGAGAAGGCGAGTGGGCGGGGCTTGAGAGCTATTTGAGATTCTAGCGATTCGAGAAACGTTAGATTTTAGAGATTCTAAAGATTCTGAAGATTTCAAGAATTTGAGGATTCTCAAAATTATAAATAAATATTCTAAAGATTTCAAAAATTCCAGAGATTCCACGAATTCCAAAAATTGCGAGGTTAGAGATTTCAAAAACTCTACATATTCTGAAAATTTTGAATATTCTATATGTTCTACAGATTTTACAGTTTCTAACGGATCTAGATTCCAAATAACTTAAAATTTCCAATATTTCGGAAACTGAAATACCAAAAATTTTGAAGAATTTTCGAACGCCGCTTCGAGACTTGTCTTTATGCGACCGCTGCTCGGCCGTCCTGAGTGATGAGTAGGCTTCGTATCTTAGGTTTTTTGCCTTTTTATATCTACTTAGGCATTGCAGCGAAATTTATATATTTATCCGAATTTAAAAAATTCTGTTTATTTAACGCCCATTTATTACTACCTAAAATGCCTAATTTACCGTTAGAGACCTAAAGTGTTAATTAAACGACCTAATTGTAAATTTTAAAAGGCTTAAAATAGGATTCCACGACCAACGAAGCGGACGCTGGCCTGCATTTCATTTAGATTATAGCCGGAAGGAGGTGAATCTCTGAAAAAGCATTTTATTTTAGAAGATTATTGTTAGTTACAGTGAGTGTCTTTGCGTGTTAGTGAGTGTGCTGGGGCCGGTTTTCATTTTTGTGCATACAGTAAAGAATCCTCAAAATGCCTAAGGTAAAATCACCATGAAAGACAAAATCAAATTATGGTTAGGGAATAATTTGGACGCTAATTTTCAATTTCCTTCTTCAACCAAAGACAATGAGTTATTCTGCAAAGTGTGTGGAAAAGTTGTAAGTAAACATTTAAAATACTGAAGCTTGAATTATGTTCACATTTTTTTTTCCTAGTTTAAGTGCGAAAAAAAATCACACTTTGAACAACACTGCAGTGGCGATACACATAAAATGAACGAGAATAAATCCAGTAAACAAACTTTATTAAACATTAGTTCCGACAATGATTTTACGCAATTCTGCACCGATTTATGTAGAGCATTTACAAATATTCCATGGAATAAAGTTAGTTGTAAACAAGATAATTAAACATAAAGCGATTCATCTGCTATTCTAGGAATCTAATCACCTCATGAGCACTAGTTGTATTTCCTGCTTTAAGATCTTGTGAAGGTCTCTTGAGTTAATGAAAATATTTTGCACGGCTGAGAATGATAAAGTGGTGATGGTTCGTCAAAGATCAAGAAAGTTAAAGGTGATGTATATTTAACGATAAATCTTGTCTATAGCGAGAAATTGTGTTACTTTTTGTAACTTTTCTTTTCGAGTTTTCTTAATTTTGTGTTAATCGACGAATTACGAGAATCTTATTTTAGAAGTATTTTTAATGAATTATGATTTTGTTTAATTTAATTAGTTAAATTGTTATTGTATGTATAAGCTAGTACTGCTCCCAAAAAAATCGTCGAAAAAATATTTACTAGAATATCATTTCAAGCTCCATGTCTTGTCAAACAAAAGACATGTATAGTGGTCATAGAAAAAAAACCTGAAGTTGTGATAAAATTTTTACTAAGGAAGATCCATTACAAGAGACAATGCTGGAACTCGTGAAGTATTAGTAATAATTGTGTTTTGGTACATCTCTTAGTAAGCCCCTCATGCTCTGCTCAAATTTCAAAGACGTCATTTCTGGAGTCCTCTGATTTATGAAACACCGCTGTTGTATATGATGTTGCATCGCCACACTGATATTCTTTTCCGTGAGGTATTTTTTTATTGGGCCAAGCAGCAAGGCGCCTGATTTAGTTTGGAATCCGAGCACTCGATGGGTACACGAAAAATATGCTCCCTAATTTGGTATATTATAATCGCCTGCTTCTATCTTTTCCCAGATATCGTCGGTTAATCTTGACCTTTCCATACAGTCAGTTATTGTTGTTCCATCGTGAGGTTCACAACACTATGACTGATAAAATAAAAAAATCAAATAAATAGGAGACTAAGTACCTGAATGTGTGCGTAGAGGGAGATGAAGAGGATAGCGGTGATCTTCATTTTGGATCACCACACTCGATAGCTACTAGTGCTTAGGTTGTTACTAAACAGCTATATCTACTAGCTATGTGGAAGACAGAGCTCGGTTTTTATGGTATACTGAGTAAATTGCATCAGCAAATCAAAATTTGCTTCAAGCTACACTTGTTATTCAACAAACGACTACAAAGTTTTGTTGACTATGAGATTATAGTAATAAACTTTAGAAGTAATGGATTGTTTATTGATGTTTAAAATACAAAGTATTATTAAAAATCGGCAAAAATAGTTTCACATATTAACAAAAAACTTACTTCCAGCTAAGAACTAAAGTTCTCACTACATTTTTAAAATTAACTAAATATAAATTCTTTATATATTCTGGCAATTTATTAATAGTTATTTAATAAACTAGTTTGTTAATGAAGGTGATTAATAATCGACACTTGTTTTAACTATGGTTTAATAAAATTTTCCGTACAAAAATGATCAAGATAATTAAGCAAACAGAGACTTAATTCGTTTTTGAATGCAAGATCTTGTCGCCGCATTTCCTAACTTCCACAGCGGTCTTTTCTGGAGTCTCGTGGTTCTCGAAACACTCCTCTGCCACCTTCTGTACCAGTGCGTCATCGTACTTTTCCTTCAACTTAGCTTTGATCCTGTCACCCTGCAGCTCGCCTGCTTCGTTTTGGAATCTGACCGCTTTATGGACACACAACAAATAAGCTGGTAGTTTGGGGTTGTCGTATTTATGGGCTTTCAAGTCTCCTAAAATTTCTGGGGTGACACCTGATTGCTGCTCACACGCTGTTACAGCTCGGTCGTATGCGTGTGCGACATATCCCGTACACTAGTGGTAAGTAAATAAGTAAGACAGAGAAAATGAAGAGGACTGAGTTACCTGAGTGTACACGCAGAAGGAGACGAAAAGAACTGCAAGGAACTTCATTTTGGACCACGACGATGTCTGGTGGTACGCTGATTTAAATAGGATTTTTGGTGTGATAAGAGAGCGATAAATGAGTTAAAGGTGATGTTGATAATGCAAAAGATTATCAGAAGAGATTTTTTTATTTGGATATTTGTTGTTTTGATGCAGCTTCTCGTGACTGTAGTGGAAAATGGAATATCTGTAGGAAATAATAAATACTGAAACACAAAGAACTTGAGGAATACCTGTGGAAACAAATAGACACAGATTCAGCAGAAAGTCAAAAAAATCATATTAGATAGACAAGGTTCCTGGGAGTGATAAGACGGTGACAATGGTAACAAATCAGAAAAGTTAAAGATTATGGAAGTTCGGTGGCTAGTTATCTGTTATCAGTTATCTAATCAACTAATTAGGTTTCGCTACGTCACCATTGTTTTGACAGCATATTTAATTTTTAGTTAGTATGAAGCTGCTTTTGGGTTATCACTAAATTTACCTATACTGATTTAAATTTTATGCATACATCTGGTTTCAACGTCAATAAGACTTTAGATACTGATTTTATGTTATGTGGACAAAAAATTCACACTTTTGTGAACTTTGCTAACCCACAAAGATAAGATGTTATGTTATTGAAGTAGACAATAAAGTTATCAGAATTTTATTAATTCTTTTAATTGCCTGATATTATATCTTTTATTTAAATCATAAACGCAAACAGTTTCAGGAAAAGCCATCCGTCTTGAAGTAAACCCATTATTATCATATATTATCATACAGAATAACAATTAACTCATGTTTCTATGTATTTATCGATGCTACAGATAAATTATGAATTCACTTTTTTTTTGTGTTTGAGACAATAATGACAGCGTTATTTGTTACAAAAAATAGTCAAGGTGAATTAAGAAAAAACTCAATTTTATTTCAAAAGGAAAAGTTGTTGTCATTTTCTGATGGCCCAAATTATGTTTATATTATGAGTTTATTGTATATTAGATTAAAAAAATAACAATGGAGTGATAAATTGCCACAATAGACAAGACTATATAGTGGCTTCAAACATTTGCCAAAATCAGTCTAGTACTAGCCCCGCCCACCCGCCCGCTATTCTCTCAGAGGTTATGTCATCTGCCAAAATAAGACTTACGTTCGCAAGTTCTAGCCCCTCCCACCCGCCCTTTACTTTCTCAGAGGGTAGAACTTGCTAATACTTGCTAAGATAAGTCTCATTTTGGCAAATGACATTTCCTCTGAGGAAATAGGAGCGGGTGGGCGGGGCTAGTAATTGCTGAGATAAGACTGATTTTGGCAACCGCCACATTCTCTAAAACAACAGAGGGCGGGTGGGCGGGGCTAGTACTTGGTAAGGCAAGACTGTAGGAAAAGTGGTTAGAATGGGATATAGAAAGTTAACTGCAGATGGCAGAAATTTTGAATAGAATGAAGAAGAGGGCAGATTCGAGAAGGTAGAAAATGTTTAGTAAAGAGCCAAAAGAAAGGGAAGAAGAGGAGGAAAAATGGAAAGAAACGAGGCAAAGGAAAAGGAATAAAAAATGCAGATAGGGAAATCGGAAAAAGGGAAGCTGGTACAAAATTAGGAGAAAAAAGGGTGAAGGTACTGTTTTGCAATGTCCAAGGGTTGCGAAAAAAAGGAAAAGGAGTTCTGGGGCTACGTGGGAAAATTTGATCTGGTGGGGCTAGTACAGACATGGGTACAAAGAGAAAACTGGGAGAAATTTGAAGAGACACTACCACAAGAATATGTGTGGGAGTGTCAAGGGGCGACAAAGGGAAAGAAAAAGGGAAGAGCAAGCGGGAGAATAGTAACGGGAATTCGAAAAGAAATGCAAGAATTGGAAAAGGGAAGTAATAATAAAAACGGACCAATGAAAAAAGTAACTCAGCTGGATAATAAACAATGGGAAATAATAGTCGTTTATAGCAAGAAAATGAAGGAAACCAAGATAAACATAGAAAAGGAAACAAAAGAAAAAGGAGCTGAAAAATACTTATAGCAGGGAATTTGAACGCAAGACTGGATGATAAGGGGACAACAATAATAGATAAAGAAAAGGGAGAAAAACGAGGATCAAAAACAAAGCAAATAACAAAGAAGGGAAAATATTGTAGAAGATAATAGAAGAAATGTGATGGGAAATTTTGAACGGAAACAAGGAAGGAGATGAAGAAGGAGAATGGACGTATGTAGGGGCTAGGGGAGAATCAATTATAGACTATGGGATTGTCAAGGAAGAGGCGTGGGAAGAAATAGAAAATTTCAAAGTGGAGGAAAGGGTAGAATCAGACCACATGCCACTAGAAATAAAAATCAAAGGAAAAGAGCACGAGTACGAAAAACAAGAGAGAAAAAACGAAAGAAAAGAAATAGAAAAAAGACTATGAGATGAAGAGGGAATTCAAAGATACAGAAGTAGACTAGAAAAAAGCAATTCGAAGTTAAAGAAGATACAGAAGCTATGATAGCAGAACTGATCAACTTAATCGTAGAAGCTACGGAAAAAAGAAAGATATACATATGGCAAGGGAGGAATAATGGATGGAACGGAGAATGTAGTGAGTTGAAGAGAAAAGCAAGGGAAAAATTAAGAAAATGGAAGAATAACAGGGGAAGGAAAGAAGACTGCTTAAAAGCAAGAGAGAATTATAGGAGAAAATGTGAAGAAAGAAAAGAAAAAAACGAGAAGAAGAAGAGAAGACAATAAAGTCCCTGACAACAGAAGAAGAAGTATAGAGATATATAAATAAGGAACGGAGAAGGAAGACTGAAGTCAGTAGGAAATTCAAAATACATGAATGGAAAAGACACTATGGAATTATTGGGAGGTTGTGAGGAAAAATGCTGCAAAATAAATAAAGGAATCACAACGACGGAAGAAATGTGGAGAGGTTCGGAAATAATAGAAGATGAAATAGGAAGACAGATTGAAAGACTGAAAAGAGGAAAGGAATTCAAAACGAAGCCTGGATGTTCGGGACAGAAATAGGAAAGAAATCTATGGGAAATGAAAACAATGATTAAAAGTTTCGAGAAGTACGTACAAAAAAAGGAATTTGAAGTGAATGTGGAAAAAACAAAAATGGTGGTGTTTGGAAAGAAAGTAAGAAAGGAGAAGGAAGAGTGGGCATGGACAGAGAAGAAGATTGAACAGGTGAAAGAATTCAAGTACTTAGGATATACATTAAAGAGCAAAATGGTCCGAAAAGCGAACAAAGTCATAGGAATAGTACGGGGACTAGGAGAAAGAAAATTTGGATATGATTATAAGAGAAGAATGATAATGTTTGATAGTTTGATCAAAAGTGTATTTATATACGGAGCTGACATTTGGGGATGAAGGGAATATGAAGAAATAAAGAGAGTGTAAGAAAAATACTTAAAATGGACATTGGGATTGGAAATGCATTTTTGTAGCAGAATATTAAAAAAAAAAAAATGCGAACATCGTAAAGAGCAACGAAACCATCAAATTTTACCTAGAAACAGTATTTTTGTCGATTTTTATTAAATCTGAACTATATTTCAATATTTTTTGATGATTCTGAGCGACGAAACACACTTAGAGCATGCAGAATCGTCTCAGATTAGGAAAAGGAGACGTTTGGGTCAATTTTATGCATTCTGGCATTCGTAGATACAAGAAAATTGTTAACATTCTTCAGAAACGTCACTTTTGAAGCGTTTTCTTGTAGTTTTAAGCCAATCAGAAATCCAACGGGCTCGGAAAGAGCAACGAAACCATCAAATGTTAGCTAGAAACAGTATTTTTGTCGATTTTTATTAAATATGAACTATATTTCAACATTTTTTGATGATTCTGAGCGACGAAACACACTTAGAGAATGCAGAATCGTCTCAGATTAGGAAAAGGAGACGTTTGGGACAATTTTATGCATTCTGGCGTTCGTAGATACAAGAAAATTGTTAAAATTCTTCAGAAACGTCACTTTTGAAGTGTTTTCTTGTAGTTTTAAGCCAATCAGAAAACCTACGGGCTCGCAAAGAGCAACGAAACCATCAAATTTTAGCTAGAAACAGTATTTTTGTCGACTTTTATTAAATCTGAAAATAAAAAATAATCAATAAAATAACGAAACAGTTTACTCACGTATGCCGCGTGTATTAGCAGAGGCGACTGAAGGTCATTTATGTATAAGCATTCTTGATTTAAGACAACAAGCGGTAACACTTGTTGAGACTGTATACGTGAGAGTGAAAGAGAGAAACTGCAAACAATACCGATAGTCGTCCAGACTTTTTCATTGCTACGACTTCCGCTTATTATATAAAACTTTGGATTTTATTTTAATTTCTGATGGTGTGATTATAACTTGTCTATACCACATTCATGGAACCTAGTTAGCCCAACAAAAGAAATGATTTACGTCGAGTTAATTTTGTATTCTTGTTGATTTTATGTTTTTTTATTATGTATAATGTTTATTTTTCTTCGTTATTCTCTTACTATTTTCGATTTCCTTTATATTATATTTTTAGTTAGTTTTGTTTCTGTAATTGGGATTTCTACCTCAATAAGTATGATTATTATTATTATTATTATTATTAAAATGACGAATTTTGTTGTATGGTGGTATAATAAAGTTTTCTCGAGAAAAATAACAAAAATAATTACACACAAACGTTTCCTTATAACAGACTTAATGCTTTTTTGGATGCAAGATCTTAAAGCTGCATTTAGTAAATTCCACGGCGGCCTTCTCTGGAGTCTCTTTGTTGTGGAAACACTGCTCTGCCACCTGTTGTATACCGGTGTCATCGTACCCGTCCTCCTTCAGCTTGGCTTTGATATTGTCACCCTGTAACTCGCCTGCTTCGTTTTGGAATTTTGCCACTTTATGGACGCAGAACATGTAAGCTGCTAGTTTGGGGTTGTCGAATTTATGTGCTTGCATTTCTCCTAAAATTTCTGGGGTAACTCCTGACTGCTGCTCACACTTTGTCACGGCTTGTTCATGTGCGAGATCTCCGGTACACTAATGGTCAACAAAATAAGAAAGAGAAAATAAAGAGAACTGAGTTACCTGAGTGTACACGCAGAAGGAGACGAAAAGAACTGCAAGGAACTTCATTTTGGACAACGACGAATGGCTGGTGGCATCACCGGTTTAAATAGGACTTTGGGTGTGATAAGGGTGATAAATGAGTTAAAGGTGATGTCGATAATGCAGAAAATTGTCAAAACAGATTGTAATTGCATGTTTGTTGTTTTGATGCAGCTTTTCGTGTAAAGTGAGTACTAAGATACAGAGAACTTTAAGAAATAATGATTTAGAACTGAAGTTATGTGTAATCTATACAAAAGATTCACATTTTTTGTGAATAATAAAAACACAAATAAAGACATTTATGACTTTGCTAACCCACAAAGATAAAACGTTATGTAATTGAAGTTGACAATAAAGTTATCAAAATTTTATTAATTCTTTTAATTGCCTGATATTATATCTTTTATTCAAATCATAAACGCAAACAGTTTCAGGAAAAGCCATCCGTCTTGAAGTAAACCCATTATTATAATATATATTATCATACAGAGTGACAATTAACTCATGTTTCTATGTATTTATCTGTGCTACATATAAATTATTGCCAAAATCACTCTTACCTTGGAATGTACTGGCCCCGCCCACCCACCCTCTTTTTTCTTAGAAGGTATATCATTTGCTAAAGTCAATCTTATCTTAACAAGCAGTAGCCCCGCCCACCCACCCTCTTTTTTCTTAGAAGGTATAACATTTGCCAAAATCAGTTTCATCTTGGCAGGAACTATCCCAGCCCTCAACCCTCTCTTTTCTTAAAGAGTATGTCATTTGCCAAAATCGGTCTTATTTTAGTGCAAGTAATAACTCCGCCCACCCGTAGAGAGATCTCATTAGCCAAAATTAGTATTATCCCAGCAGGTACTAACCCCGCACACCCACCCTCTCTTTTCTTAGAGGGTATATCATCTGATAAAATTAGTCTTATCCTAGCTAGTAGTTAAAACTGATTATAGCAAACGAAATACCCTCAAAGAAAACAAAAGGCGGGTGGGCGGGGCCAGTACTTTTTAAGATAAAACTGATTTAGGCGAATGACATTTTATCTTCTAAGAAAATAGAGGAAGAGTGGGCGGGGGTTGTACTTGTTAAGACAAGACTGATTTTCACGGTTAACATATCCTCTAAGAAAAGAGAGGGTGGGTGGGCGGGGCTAGTATTTACTAAGATGATAGTAATTGTGGCCAAGGGCATATCTTCCAAGAAAATAGAGGGTGGGTGGGTGGGGCTAGTATTTGTTAAGATAAGACTGACTTTAGCAAATGATACCTATTTTCTTAGAGGGTATATCATTCGCCAAAATCAGTGTTATCTTAGCAAGTATTAGCAAGGACTGGTCATAGAAAACCTGATGTTGTGATTAAATTTTCTACTAAGGAAAATACATTACAAGAGACAATCCTGGAAGCTGTGAAGTATTAGTTAAAATTGTATTTTTGATCTCATATTAAGCCCCTGACGCACTTCTCAAATTTGATAGACGTCATTTCTGGAGTCTTCTGGTTTATGAAACACCGCCGTTTTATATCACGTTCCATCTCCCGACTGAGACCCTTTTCCCTGAAGTAGTTTATTATTGCGGTAGTCCGCAACAGGCCTGATTTAGTTTGGAATCCCATCACTTGATGGGTACACAAAAAATACGCTCCCAAATTTGGTATACTAAAGTTGCCTGCTTCTATGTCTTCCCAGATATCGTCGGTTAATCCTGACTTTTTCATACAGTCACTTACTGGAGATTCATCATCACAACACTATGACTGATAATATAAAACAAAAAAAAAAAACAAATAAATAGGAGACTAAGTACCTGAATGTATGCGAAGAGGGAGACGAAGAGGGAGACGAAGAGGATAACGGTGACCTTCATTTTGGATCGCCACACTTGACAGCTACCAAAAAGGCCGTCATAAAATTAGATAACTAACTAATAGAGTGCTTAACTTCTTGTTAAACTCACCTCTACTAAACACGGTGTTTATGGTAGACTGAGTAAATGGCAACTGCAAATCAAAATTTACTTCAAGCTACACTTGTTATTCAACAAACGACTATAAAGTTTTCTTGACTACGAGATGATAGTAATAAACATTAGAAGTAGTTTTAAAGGCAAATTTGGGAAAGAAAATCACCCAATAAACGTGGCTTTTATTATCCACAATCAGTATAAATTGCACCTGCACCTCAAAATATTAGTTTAAGCTCGATCAACAAAAGGCGATAAATGAAGTTGTCGTAAACGCGATATAAAAACAATCCTGAAATGGATTATTTTCTATAGAATACTTTTCTTGAAACGTTTAAGTTAAACGTCAATTGCTTCAAGAATCTGCACTCAATCTAAATTTTTTTGGGTACTTTTTCAACATAGTGTTACGTTGTTCGGTGAATAAAATCGGCGTGGGTAAAACCCAAAAATTTATTTCTTAATACTTCTTCTCTTTCCGGTGTTCTTTATAGGCTTCCCAGTCTTCAGTTTTCCTAGTGTTTTTTGCTCTATTGAAAAATTTTCTTAGCCCCGATTGGAGAAGGCTGAGCCTTCGGTTCCATCATAGTGTACCTTTGTCCAGGCCTTCCTTCTTTAGGGGGCAACTTTTCTCATAAGCTGACATTAGAGAGTGGTTGAGTATGTTCTCTAGAGGTAGTTTCCCGCCTCCTCATCCTCTTTTGCTTTTCAGCTACCAGAGGTGTGAAGGTTGAACGCCGCACTCTCTTTATTGACCCTGAGGTCTTTCTTTCCCCTTTGCCCTTAAGGTTTATCCTGGAGGAGGATGGGCCCAGTTTCGGCGGGTCGGCATTCGCCACCTCCGCTTGCAATCGAGCCTTCCTCCGCCTATTTACCTCAGCCTCTTAGGAAGCTGTGACCCCACATTGGCTGGGTTTTCCGTTTGAGGTGCACCCGACGGCACTTCCTCAGTGGGTTTTTTGTTTTTATTATCCATAATGTTGGATTTTGTTGTTGTCTAAGCCGACAACCACCAAGGCATGTCCAGGCAAGACGAGCCTCAGTCCTAACCTACATATCTGGAGAAGGGAAAAAATCCAGGTCAGACTTTCACCACCCCCAGGAGGGTTTAGTTCCCGGTGGCATTTACGCCCACCCTAGATCTCCCTTCCCCAGGACTTGTCCGGCTCTTCGTAACATTCGTTGGACTGGACACGGCTGAATGATAATCGTTTCCGAAGGTGGCGTCTATTTAATCCCATACTTGTGCGTTCGAAGTCTTTCTCGAATATCCATCGCGACATCTGCTTCGGGGCTAGTATCTGCTAAGATAAGATTGAATTTATCTAAAGAGATACCGTCCAAGAAAAGAGAGGGTGGGTGGGCGGGGCTAGTACCTGCTACTATAAGACTGACTTTGGCAAATGAGATCTCTCTTAGAAAAGCGAGGGCGGGTGAGTGGGGCTAGCATCTGCCAAAATCAGATTTATCTTAACAGGTACTAGCCCCACCCACCCACCCTCTCGTTTCTTAAAAGGTATGTCATCTGCCAAAACCAGTTTTATCTTAGTAGATACTAGTACCACCCACCCACCCTCTCTTTTCTTACAAGGTATTTCATTTGCCAATATCAGTTTTATCTTAGCAGCTACTACCTAGGACAAGACTGATTTTGGCAAATCACATAGTTTCCAAGAAAATAGAGGGTGGGTGGGCAGGGCTAGTAACTGCCAAGATAAGACTGATTTTGGCAAATGAAATATCCTCTAAGAGAAGTGAGGGCGAGTGGGCGGGGCTAGTATCTGCTAAGATAAGACTGAATTCATTTAATGAGGTACCTTCCAAGAAAAGTGAAGGTGGGTGGGCGGGGCTAGTACCTGCTACGATAAGACTGATTTTGGCAAATGAGATCTGTCTTAGAGTAGAGTGGGCGGGTGGGTGGGGTTAGCATCTGCTAAAATCAGTTTTATCTTAGCAGCTGCTAGCCCCGCCCACCCACCTTTTCTTTTTTTGGAAGGTATATCATTTGCGAAAATCACTTTTATCTTAGTAGCTACTAGCCCCACCCACCGCCCTCTCTTTTCTTACAAGATATGTCATTTGCCAAAATCACAGCTACTAGCTAAAATAAGACTGATTTTGGCAAATGACATACCCTCTAAGAAAAGAGAGGGTGGGTGGGCGGGGCTAGTATCCGTCAAGATAAGACTGATTTTAGCAAATGAGGTACCCTCTAAGAAAAGAGAAGGCGAGTGGGCGGGGCTTGACAGCGTTTTGAGATTCTAGCGATTCGAGAAACGTTAGATTTTAGAGATTCTAAAGATTCTGAAGATTTCAAGAATTTGAGGATTCTCAAAATTATAAATAAATATTCTAAAGATTTCAAAAATTCCAGAGATTCCACGAATTCCAAAAATTGCGAGGTTAGAGATTTCAAAAACTCTACATATTCTGAAAATTTTGAATATTCTATATGTTCTACAGATTTTACAGTTTCTAACGGATCTAGATTCCAAATAACTTAAAATTTCCAATATTTCGGAAACTAAAATACCAAAAATTTTGAAGAATTTTCGAACGCCGCTTCGAGACTTACTTGTCTTTATGCGACCGCTGCTCGGCCGTCCTGAGTGATGAGTAGGCTTCGGATCTTAAGTTTTTTGCCTTTTTATATCTACTTAGGCACTGCAGCGAAATTTATATATTTATTCGAAGTTAAAAAATTCTGTTTATTTAACGCCCATTTATTACTACCTAAAATGCCTAATTTACCGTTAGAGACCTAAAGTGTTAATTAAACGACCTAATTGTAAATTTTAAAAGGCTTAAAATAGGATTCCACGACCAACGAAGCGGACGCTGGCCTGCATTTCATTTAGATTATAGCCGGAAGGAGGTGAATCTCTGAAAAAGCATTTTATTTTAGAAGTTTATTGTTAGTTATAGTGAGTGTCTTTGCGTGTTAGTGAGTGTGCTGGGGTCGGTTTTCGTTTTTGTGCATACAGTAAAGAATCCTCAAAATGCCTAAGGTAAAATCACCATGAAAGACAAAATCAAATTATGGTTAGGGAATAATTTGGACGCTAATTTTCAATTTCCTTCTTCAACCAAAGACAATGAGTTATTCTGCAAAGTGTGTGGAAAAGTTGTAAGTAAACATTTAAAATAATGACGCTTTAATTATGTTAACATTTTTGTTTCCTAGTTTAAGTGCGAAAAAAAATCACACTTTGAACAACACTGCAGTGGCGATGCACATAAAAAGAACAAGAATAAATCCAGTAAACAGACATTATTAAACATTAGTTCTGACAATGATTTTACGCAATTTTGCACCGATTTATATAGAACATTTACAAATATTCCATGGAATAAAGTTAGTTGTAAACAAGATAATTAAACATAAAGCGATTCATCTGCTATTCTACGAATCTAATCACCTCATGAGCACTAGTTGTATTTCCTGCTTTAAGATCTTGTGAAGGTCCCTTGAATTAATGAAAATATTTTGCACGGCTGAGAATGATAAAGTGGTGAGTTCGTCAAAGATCAAGAAAGTTTAAGGTGATGTATATTTAACGATAAATCTTGTCTATAGCGAGAAATTGTGTTACTTTTTGTAACTTTTCTTATCGAGTTTTCTTAATTTTGTGTTAATCGACGAAGTACAAGAATCTTATTTTAGAAGTATTTTTAATGAATTATGATTTTGTTTAATTCAATTAGTTAAATTGTTATTGTATGTATAAGCTAGTACTGCTCCCAAAAAAATCGTCGAAAAAATATTTACTAGAATATCATTTCAAGCTCCATGTCTTGTCAAACAAAAGACATGTATAGTGGTCATAGAAAAAAAAAACTGAAGTTGTGATGAAATTTTTACTAAGGAAGATCCATTACAAGAGACAATGCTGGAACTCGTGAAGTATTAATAATAATTGTGTTTTGGTACATCTCTTAGTAAGCCACTGAGGCACTGCTCAAATTTTAAAGACGTCATTTCTGGAGTCCTCTGATTTATGAAACACCGCTGTTGTATATGATGTTGCATCGCCGCACTGATATTCTTTTCCGTGAGGTATTTTTTAATTGGGCCAAGCAGCAAGGCGCCTGATTTAGTTTGGAATCCGAGCACTCGATGGGTACACGAAAAATATGCTCCCAAATTTGGTATATTATAATCGCCTGCTTCTATCTTTTCCCAGATATCGTCGGTTAATCTTGACCTTTCCATACAGTCAGTTATTGTTGTTCCATCGTGAGGTTCACAACACTATGACTGATAAAATAAAAAAATCAAATAAATAGGAGACCAAGTACCTGAATGTGTGCGTAGAGGGAGATGAAGAGGATAGCGGTGATCTTCATTTTGGATCACCACACTCGATAGCTACTAGTGCTTAGGTTGTTACTAAACAGCTATATCTACTAGCTATGTGGAAGACAGAGCTCGGTTTTTATGGTATACTGAGTAAATTGCATCAGCAAATCAAAATTTGCTTCAAGCTACACTTGTTATTCAACAAACGACTACAAAGTTTTGTTGACTATGAGATTATAGTAATAAACTTTAGAAGTAATGGATTGTTTATTGATGTTTAAAATACAAAGTATTATTAAAAATCGGCAAAAATAGTTTCACATATTAACAAAAAACTTACTTCCAGCTAAGAACTAAAATTCTCACTACATTTTTAAAATTAACTAAATATAAATTCTTTATATATTCTGGCAATTTATTAATAGTTATTATTTAATAAACTAGTTTGTTAATGAAGGTGATTAATAATCGACACTTGTTTTAACTATGGTTTAATAAAATTTTCCGGACAAAAGTGATCAAGATAATTAAGCAAACAGAGACTTAATTCGTTTTTGAACTTAAGATCTTGTGGGCGCATTTCCTAACTTCCACAGCGGTCTTTTCTGGAGACTCGTGGTTCTCGAAACACTCCGCTGCCACCTTCTGTACAAGTGCGTCATCGTGCTTTTCCTTCAACTTAGCTTTGATGTTGTCACCCTGCAACTCGCCTGCTTCGTTTTGGAATTTGAGCACTTTATGTACACACAACAAATAAGGTGCTAGTTTGGGGTTGTCATATTTATGGGCTTTCAACTCTCCTAAAATTTCTGGGGTGAGACTTGACTGCTGCTCACACGCTGTTACAGCTTGTTCGTGTGCGACATCTCCGGTACACTAGTGGTCAAACAAATAAGTAAGACAGAGAAAATAAAGAGGACTGAGTTACCTGACTGTACACGCAGAAGGCGACGAAAAGAACTGCAAGGAACTTCATTTTGGACCACGACGATGTCTGGTGGTACGCTGATTTAAATAGGATTTTTGGTGTGATAAGAGAGCGATAAATGAGTTAAAGGTGATGTTGATAATGCAATATTATCAGAAGAGATTTTTTTATTTGGATGTTTGTTGTTTTGATGCAGCTTCTCGTGACTGTAGGGGAAAATGGAATATCTGTAGGAAATAATAAATACTGAAACACAAAGAACTTGAGGAATACCTGTGGAAACAAATAGACACAGATTCAGCAGAAAGTCAAAAAAATCATATTAGATAGACAAGGTTCCTGGGAGTGATAAGACGGTGACAATGGTAACAAATCAGAAAAGTTAAAGATTATGGAAGTTCGGTGGCTAGTTATCTGTTATCAGTTATCTAATCAACCAATTAGGTTTCGCTACGTCACCATTGTTTTGACAGCATATTTAATTTTTAGTTAGTATGAAGCTGCTTTTGGGTTATCACTAAATTTACCTATACTGATTTAAATTTTATGCATACATCTGGCTTCAATGTCAATAAGACTTTAGATACTGATTTTATGTTATGTGGACAAAAAATTCACACTTTTGTGAACTTTGCTAACCCACAAAGATAAGATGTTATGTTATTGAAGTAGACAATAAAGTTATCAGAATTTTATTAATTTTTTTAATTGCCTGATATTATATCTTTTATTTAAATCATAAACGCAAACAGTTTCAGGAAAAGCCATCCGTCTTGAAGTAAACCCATTATTATCATATATTATCATACAGAATAACAATTAACTCATGTTTCTATGTATTTATCGATGCTACAGATAAATTATGAATTTACTTTTTTTTTGTGTTTGAGACAATAATGACAGCGTTATTTGTTACAAAAAATAGTCAAGGTGAATTAAGAAAAAACTCAATTTTATTTCAAAAGGAAAAGTTGTTGTCATTTTCTGATGGCCAAAATTATGTTTATATTATGAGTTTATTGTATATTAGATTAAAAAAATAACAATGCAGTGATAAATTGCCACAATAGACAAGACTATATAGTGGCTTCAAACATTTGCCAAAATCAGTCTAGTACTAGCCCCGCCCACCCGCCCGCTATTCTCTCAGAGGTTATGTCATCTGCCAAAATAAGACTTACGTTCGCAAGTTCTAACCCCTCCCACCCGCCCTTCACTTTCTCAGAGGGTAGAACTTGCTAATACTTGCTAAGATAAGTCTCATTTTGGCAAATGACATTTCCTCTGAGGAAATAGGAGCGGGTGGGCGGGGCTAGTAATTGCTGAGATAAAACTGATTTTGGCAAACGCCACATTCTCTAAAACAACAGAGGGCGGGTGGGCGGGGCTAGTACTTGGTAAGGCAAGACTGTAGGAAAAGTGGTTAGAATGGGATATAGAAAGTTAACTGCAGATGGCAGAAATTTTGAATAGAATGAAGAAGAGGGCAGATTCGAGAAGGTAGAAAATGTTTAGTAAAGAGCCAAAAGAAAGGGAAGAAGAGGAGGAAAAATGGAAAGAAACGAGGCAAAGGAAAAGGAATAAAAAATGCAGATAGGGAAATCGGAAAAAGGGAAGCTGGTACAAAATTAGGAGAAAAAAGGGTGAAGGTACTGTTTTGCAATGTCCAAGAGTTGCGAAAAAATGCAGATAGGGAAATCGAAAAAAGGGAAGCTGGTACAAAATTAGGAGAAAAAAGGGTGAAGGTACTGTTTTGCAATGTCCAAGGGTTGAGAAAAAATGCAGATAGGGAAATCGGAAAAAGGGAAGCTGGTACAAAATTAGGAGCAAAAAGGGTGAAGGTACTGTTTTGCAATGTCCAAGGGTTGCGAAAAAAGGAAAAGGAGTTCTGGGGCTACGTGGGAAAATTTGATCTGGTGGGGCTAGTACAGACATGGGTACAAAGAGAAAACTGGGAGAAATTTGAAGAGACACTACCACAAGAATATGTGTGGGAGTGTCAAGGGGCGACAAAGGGAAAGAAAAAGGGAAGAGCAAGCGGGAGAATAGTAACGGGAATTCGAAAAGAAATGCAAGAATTGGAAAAGGGAAGTAATAATAAATACGGACCAATGAAAAAAGTAACTCAGCTGGATAATAATCGATGGGAAATAATAGTCGTTTATAGCAAGAAAATGGAGGAAACCAAAATAAACATAGAAAAGGAAACAAAAGAAAAAGGAGCTGAAAAATACTTATAGCAGGGGATTTGAACGCAAGACTGGATGATAAGGGGACAACAATAATAGATAAAGAAAAGGGAGAAAAACGAGGATCAAAAACAAAGCAAATAACAAAGAAGGGAAAATATTGTAGAAGATAATAGAAGAAATGGGATGGGAAATTTTGAACGGAAACAAGGAAGGAGATGAAGAAGGAGAATGGACCTACGTAGGGGCTAGGGGAGAATCAATTATAGACTATGGGATTGTCAAGGAAGAGGCGTGGGAAGAAATAGAGAGTTTCAAAGTGGAGGAAAGGGTAGAATCAGACCACATGCCACTAGAAATAAAAATCAAAGGAAAAGAGCACGAGTACGAAAAACAAGAGACAAAAAACGAAAGAAAAGAAATAGAAAAAAGAATATGAGATGAAGAGGGAATTCAAAGATACAGAAGTAGACTAAATCATCATCAAAATACATGAATGGAAAAGACACTATGGAATTATTGGGAGGTTGTGAGGAAAAATGCTGCAAAATAAATAAAGGAATCACAACGACGAAAGAAATGTGGAGAGGTTCGGAAATAACAGAAGATGAAATAGGAAGACAGATTGAAAGACTGAAAAGAGGAAAGAAATTCAAAACGAAGCGTGGATGTTCGGGACAGAAGGAGGAAAGAAAGGATATGGGAAATGAAAACAAAATTTGAAGTGAATGTGGAAAAAACAAAAATGGTGGTGTTTGGGAAGAAAGTAAGAAAGGAGAAGGAAGAGTGGGCATGGACAGAGAAGAAGATTGAACAGGTGAAAGAATTCCAGTACTTAGGATATACATTAAAGAGCAATAACTTAGATAGAGCGCATATTCAAGAAATGGTTCGAAAAGCGGACAAACTGATAGGAATAGTATGGGGAATAGGAGAAAGAAAATTTGGACATGTTTATAAGAGAAGAATGTTAATATTTGATAGTTTGATCAAAAGTGTATTTATGTACGGAGCTGAGATTTGGGGATGAAGGGAATATGAAGAAATAGAGAGAGTGTAAGAAAAATACTTAAAATGTACATTGGGATTGGAAATGCATTTTTGTAGCAGGATATTTAAAAAAAAATTGCGAACATCGGGAAGAGCAACGAAACCATCAAATTTTAGCTAGAAACAGTATTTTTGTCGATTTTTATTAAATCTGAAAATAAAAAATAATTAATCAATAAAATAACGAAACAGTTTACTCACGTATGCCGTGTGTATTAGCAGAGGCGACTAAAAGTCATTTATGTATAAGCATTCTTGATTTAAGACAACAAGCGGTAACACTTGTTGAAAATGTATACGTGAGAGTGAAACAGAGAAACTGCAAACAATACCGATAGTCGTCCAGACTTTTTCATTGCTTCGACTTCCGCTTATTATATACAACTTTGGATTTTATTTTAATTATTGATGGTGTAATTCACAATTGGTTGATTATAACTTGTCTATACCACATTCATGGAACCTAGTTAGCCCAACAAAAGAAATGATAGGATTTATTAGACAAAATTTTGAGCTGACGTCATCAATTTTTTGGAATTAACTCGAAGTAAATATATTTACTTCGAGTTAATTTTGCATTCTTGTTGATTTTATGTTTTTTTATTATGTATAATGTTTATTTTTCTTCGTTATGCTCTTATTATTTTCGATTTCCTTTATATTATATTTTTAGTTAATTTTCTTTCTGTAATTGGGATTTCTACCTCAATAAGAATGATTATTATTATTAATATTATTATTATTAAAACGACGAATTTTGTTGTATAATAAAGTTTTTTCGAGAAAAATAACAAAATAATTACACACAAACGATTCCTTATAACAGACTTAATGCTTTTTTGGATGCAAGATCTTAAAGCTGCATTTAGTAAATTCCACGGCGGTCTTTTCTGGAGTTTCTTGATTGTGGAAACACTGCTCTGCCACCTGTTGTATACCGGTGTCATCGTACCCGTCTTCCTTCAGCTTGGCTTTGATATTGTCACCCTGTAACTCGCCTGCTTCGTTTTGGAATTTTGCCACTTTATGGACGCAGAACATATAAGCTGCTAGTTTGGGATTGTCGAATTTATGTGCTTGCATTTCTCCTAAAATTTCTGGGGTAACTCCTGACTGTTGTTCACACTTTGTCACGGCTCGTTCATGTGCGAGATCTCCGGTACACTAATGGTCAACAAAATAAGAAAGAGAAAATAAAGAGAACTGAGTTACCTGAGTGTACACGCAGAAGGAGACGAAAAGAACTGCAAGGAACTTCATTTTGGACAACGACGAATGGCTGGTGGCATCACCGGTTTAAATAGGACTTTGGGTGTGATAAGGGTGATAAATGAGTTAAAGGTGATGTCGATAATGCAGAAAATTGTCAAAACAGATTGTAATTGCATGTTTGTTGTTTTGATGCAGCTTTTCGTGTAAAGTGAGTACTAAGATACAGAGAACTTTAAGAAATAATGATTTAGAACTGAAGTTATGTGTAATCTATACAAAAGATTCACATTTTTTGTGAATAATAAAAACACAAATAAAGACATTTATGACTTTGCTAACCCACAAAGATAAAACGTTATGTAATTTGTGCTGACAATAAAGTTATCAGAATTGTATTAATTCATTTAATTGCCTGATATTATATCTTTTATTCAAATAATAGACGCAAACATTTTCAGGAAAAGTCATCCGTCTTGTAGCAAACAGATTATCATGTAGAAAAACAATAATTAATTAATGTTCTTATGTATTTATTTATGTTCCATATAAATTGTGATAGCTTGAAAGAAATAAATTTGAAAAGAAAAAGTTGAACTCAACCGTTAAAAAAAAGCAAAAATTTTCCACAAACTGTCAAAATACTGTAATAAAAATAATTCATTTTGATACTCCAGTGCACTTTCTTTCTCACCAACAACCATTTGAAAAAACAAGACTGATTTGGGCAATTCACATACCTTCCAAGAAAATGGAGGGTGGGTGGGTGGGGAAAGTAAGTATTTGATAAGATAAGACTGATTTGGCAGATGAGACACCCTCTAAGAAAATGGAGGGTGGCTAATTTTCGGACATGATTGAAAAATGGTCGAAAATGTCAAAAGTGCCAAAGTCATTCTTATCTTATCAAATACTGTCCCCACCCACCCACCCTCTATTCTCTTGGAAGGTATGTCATTTGCTCAAATCAGTCTTATCTTATCAAATACTAGATCCACCCTCCGTTTTCTTAGATGGTATGTCATTTGCTAAAATCAGTTTTACATTATCAAATACTAGCCCCGCCCACCCACCATCAGTTTTATATTAGGTACTAGCTAGAACCTGCTAAGATAAAACTGATTTTGTCAAATGGCATACCCTCTAAGAAAAGACAGAGTGGGTGGGCCGGGCTAGTATTTGATGATGTAAGACTAATTTTGGCAAATGACATACCTTCTAAGAAAATGGAGGGCGGGTGGGTGGGGCTAGAATTTGATAAAAATACACTAATTTGGGGAATTCACATACCTTCGAAGAAAATGGAGGGTGGGTGGGTGGGGATAGTAAGTTTTGATAAGGTAAGACTGATTTGGCATATGAGATACCCTCTAAGAAAACGGAGGGTGGCTAATTTTCGGACATGGTTGAAAAAGGGTGGAAAATTTCAAAAGTGCCAAAGTCATTCTTATCTTATCAAATACTATCCCCACCCACCCACCCTCTATTCTCTTGGAAGGTATGTCATTTGCCCTAATCAGTCTTATCTTATCAAATACTAGCCCCGCCCACCCATCATCAGTTTTATCTTAGGTACTAGCTAGAACCTGCTAAGATAAAACTGATTTTGACAAATGGCATACTCTCTAAGAAAAGACAGAGTGGGTGGGCCGGGCTAGTATTTGATGATGTAAGACTAATTTTGGCAAATGACATACCTTCTAAGAAAATGGAGGGTGGGTGGGTGGGGATAGTAAGTATTTGATAAGATAAGACTGATTTGGCGGATGAGATACCCTCTAAGAAAATGGAGGGTGGCTAATTTTCGGACATAGTTGAAAAATGGTGGAAAATTTCAAAAGTGCCAAAGTCATTCTTATCTTATCAAATACTATCCCCGCCCACCCACCCTCTATTCTCTTGGAAGGTATGTCATTTGCCCAAATCAGTCTTATCTTATCAAATACTAGACCCACCCTCCGTTTTCTTAGATGGTATGTCATTTGTTAAAATTAGTTTTACATTATCAAATACTAGCCCCGCCCACCCACCATCAGTTTTATATTAGGTACTAGCTAGAACCTGCTAAGATAAAACAGATTTTGACAAATGGCATACCCTCTAAGAAAAGACAGAGTGCGTGGGCGGGGCTAGTATTTGATGATGTAAGACTAATTTTGGCAAATGACATACCTTCTAAGAAAATGGAGGGTGGGTGGGTGGGGATAGTAAGTATTTGATAAGATAAGACTGATTTGGCAAATGCGTTACCCTCTAAGAAAATGGAGGGTGGTTAATTTTCGTCATAGATCAGGTACATTATTATTATCACTATCAACATGCCGCTTGAGAAAATGATAAATTCTGTATCAAGCATTTCCAGTATTTGATAGACGAGCCAAGAACCAGCTAGAAAAAAATGGAGCAACGACTTGTCACCGTAGACGACAAAGTCAAAGCTCACGGTTCATGTTTCGACAAGAAATTCAGTCTCATTAATAAGGGAGGCCAACTTTTTTGAAATTTGTTTATAGCAAGTATCACAAGACCGATAAGTTGATAACAATTCATATGAAATCATAGACAAAAGGTCAAGACAATAATTTGTCCTTACGTGTAAATCCTTGACACAATCTAATGTTGGCCAAAATATTATGATTCGCACTTGCTATCGTTGTTTCGACTTAAACCTCCATGGTTATCGTGCGTCAATGATAGATTTTTCTATAAAAGAAGCCAACTGATTACTCCGATCATTCTTTGTTTCCATCAACCATGAAGTCTCTTCCTTGTCTCGTGTTCGTAGCTATCATCGTCGTAGTCCAGGTACGTTATCATTACCACTATCAATTTTTCAATACATTTTGTATCAAAATTTCCAGTCTGTGAGTACGGAGAGAAAATGGATCCTTGAATGCCAAAGTGAAACCGGAGTTACATTGGAAGCGTTGGATTATATCAGGTTTAATGACTTCTCCGCCGTAGATGACAAAGTCAAAGCGTTCGTTCTATGTTTCGGCAAGAAATACGGTCTCCTTAAAGAATCTGGCGACATAGACGTGGAAAAAGTTAAAAAGGAACTGAGGAGTGTCGTCGACAGCGAAGACCAAATCAACAAAATCATCGGCAAATGTCTCGTCAATAAAGAAACGAAACAAGAAACAGTGTTCCAGGCTTTTAAATGCGTCAGGGTAAATAAACCCAATTTCTTACCTGTTTAAGGGTTGTTTTGAAATAAAGTTACTATGATCCAGTTGTTTTTTTCTAGTTTGGGTTGTTGGTTTCGACAAGTTAGAGCTTTGATAACTCAGTTATAGGGGTGTCTTTTTGACAGTGAATTTCGTCTAAGTTTTGTCAATTTTGTTCTGACAAAATTTTTGAGTAGGGTTTCTTCTTGGAAGGTGACTTCTTCCTTTTGGAAACCCATTTTCTTGAAGAAGTTTGAGCGTTTTGGGCAATACGTGGTTTATGAGAAGTAATAGAACACCGATAAGTTGATAATAATTCATGAGACAACATAGACAAAAGGTCAAAACAATAAATTGTCTTTATGCGTGAATCATTGACAAAATCTAACGTTTCCCAAAATATTATGATTTCCCTCGTTATCGTTGTTTCAACGTAGACCCTCATGGCTATCTTGCGTCTATAAAAGAAATGAACTAATTCCATCACTCATTCTTAGTTTCATCAACCATGAAGTTCCTCTGTTGTCTCGTGTTCGTAGCTCTCATCGTCACCGCTCAGGTACGTTATTAACATCACTATCAACTTTTCGCCAAATCTGTATCAAAATTTCCAGTCTCTGACAACCGAAAATAAATGGACCAACGATTGCCAAGGTTCCATAATTGCCCGCGATCAAAATGCGTCAGACAAAGTTATCCAGACTTCAAACCGCTTTAAAGAGTTGATTTTGAAATAAAGTTGCCTACTATAGAAGCGGTATTGAAAAATTGATATTTCTGAAATGTTGCCCAAAAATTGTTACTGCTCATAAAATAATATAAATATAGTGATGAAACATTAAACGAAAACTTTATATATTTTTGGCGTAACATGTTATTGTGTTTTTGGATACAAGATAGCGCTACTACATTTTGAAAATTCTATTGTCGATACGCCTGGAGTAGCCTTGTTGGACTCCTTTAGCACTCTTTCCACAGCATCAATTTGTATATGTCCCGCTTCATTTTGAAACCCAACATTTCATTTGATTTCGTCAGTAATTCCCTACTTTTCTTTGCAAGGTTTGACAGCGTCAGCGTAGGTAACATTGTCATCGTCATACTAAGATACAAATTGATAAAAGTGATGTGAACTAGAAATAAAGTTACTTCACCTGAACGAAGACAAACAACGACACGAAAAAAACCGCGGCTAAATTCATTTTGGACTACGACAAATGTGTCGAGTAGCTAGGTTATAACAAGTAAAAGAACGATAAAGTGATAAAAATTGACATGACTTCACAAAGTGATACAAGTTTGATAATCATAGAAAAAAAGTCAAGGAAATAGGTTTCGTGCAGAACTCATTTTTATCATAATGTGTAAAAGTCTAAAATTAGTAGCTGTTTTTGAAAAGTCAAAGAAATTCTTTTCGATCATTCTTGTGTAAGTCGAGTTTAGGTATAACAAATTTAAAAATAACAAACAAGTGATAACTGCCACGATATCGTGAAAAGTTGAAGGTGATGAAAACTCGACATTTATACAGAGACAGTAGGTTAAAACAATATCATTGGTGGAAATAGAAGTGGAATATCGATAAAGTGATAATAATTGATACGACATCACAAAATATTATTCACTATAAATAAAACTTACCTAAGGAAAATTCAGTTCACTGAATGCAGGTGCTGAACGAAAATCTGTAAAAAATAGACAAATTTAACACGTTTTGAAAAAAAAACAAATTACTTTATATAATATTGACTTAATTTGCAATCATTATCACTGTTAAGTTTTTATTTGTTTCGTGTTCGTAGCTCTCGTCGTCATAGCTCAGGTACGTTATCATTATCATTTATCAGTTATCACTATCAATTTTTCGTGTGATACATCAAAAGATTCCGGTCTCTGACGGACGAGCAAAAAGCCAACTGGAAAAAGCGGAGCGAAGAATGCCAAACCAGAAACAACGACTTTTCGGCTGTAGACGACAAAATCAAAGCCCATAGTCTGTTTGCTTAACGCATCGGGGGACCTAGACGTTGAAGATATCAAAAGATAGATAAAAGATATCCACTTAGACCCACATCTTGATTTTGCATTAGTGATAAAGGTTGCTATATATAAAAGAAGCAAATTGTTTACTCCTCACATTAGTCTTTTGAGTTGAAACCGATTCCTTACAACACACTCAATGCTTTTTTGGAGTCAAAATCTTATGGTGGCATTTAGTAAATTCCACGGTGGTCTCTTCTGGAGTCTGGAGTCGCCGAAAATACAAGAAAATGTTTTTGGATAATTTTTGAGCTGTGCTCGAAAAACAGTCAAAAATTTTTACGTGCCTAAAAATGTGTTTGTTTAAGATCCACCTTTCATTCAAAGTTGATAAAATTAATCACCGAAGTGGAGGCGGGTGGGTGGGCGGGGTTAGTTAAATGTTCTTCTGTAGAGTGAGAGTGGGAACTAATAGAAAAAAGCGCTAATCGTGACTTTTTTGTTGTATTATTTGTCATAAGATTTATTTCTTATTTCAGAAGAAAAAAAAAATGAAAAAAACGGGTGGGTGGGCGGGGCTAAGTTACTCTAGTGACTACTCTTAATACTGTTAAATACTGACAATAGTATTGTCTTATTAGAATCTTCTCATTTTCAAAACTTAATGAGGATTCGAAAAGTCGAAAACTCGAAAAAGCGAGAAATCGAAAAATCGAAACATTGAAAAATTGAAAAGTTAAAAATTGAAAAACTGCAAAATTTGAAATGAAAAAAAGATAGATTGTAAAATCGAACAACTATAAAAAGGAAAAATTCAAAACCGAGAAATTGAACAACCTATAATTTTAAAAAATGAAAAATTTGAGAACCAAAAAATCCAACACCAAATAAACGAAAGATCTAAAATTTAAAAGTTCGAAAAAGTGAAAATAGAAATATCGAAAAACTGAAAAATCGAGAAATCGAAAAATCTAAAATTTTATTCATCGAATCAAATCAAGAAACCAAGTTTGAAGAATCCCAAAACTGAAACATCGAAAAATTGAGATTTCGAGAAATCGAAAAGTCGAAAAAGGAAGTTGAAAAACCGAAAATTTAAAAAAAGTTACATGAAAAAGCAAAAACCTGAAAAATCGAAGAATTGGATAATCGCAAAATTGAAAAACCGAACAATGGATTCATTCAGAAATTGAAAAATAAAAATTGAGACATCAAAAATATAAGGAAGTCAAAAATTGAAAATTTGGAAAACAAGAATTGAAAAATTGAAGAATCGAAAAATTGAAAAATTATATTACTGAAACATTGGAAAATTAGCAAATCGAAAAATTGAAAAATCTAAACATCGAAAAATTGAAAAATTGAAAATTCGAACAATCGAAAAATTGAAATAGTGAAAAACTGAAAAATTCAAAGATGAAAAATTCCCAAAATTAAAATGTGGAAAGATTCAGAAATTGAAATCTTGAAGAATCGAAAAGATGGAAAATTTTAAAAATGAAAAAACGGGATGTCAAGAGATCGAGTCAAAAAACTCGAAAAATTAAAACATCTATAAACCGAAAAATCAAAAATTTAAAAATTGAAAAACTGAATAATAGAAATAGAAAAACTGAGAGAAAATTCGAGAAATTGAAAAATTCCAAAACTGAGAAATCGAGAAATTGAAAAACTGAAACGTCGAAAATGAAAACATCTTGATTTTACATTAGTGATAAAGGTTGCTATATATAAAAGAAGCAAATTGTTTACTCCTCACATTAGTCTTTTATAGCATATTAAGCTAAAATAAAAATATGTATCTGAAGGTAAGCAGAGCAAAATGTTGTGCCTCGGTGGGATTCGACGCCTCTCGCTCTCCGGGCAAGCATCCTAACCACTAGACCATGAGGCCACTTGTTTTTCTCTATCTGTCTCTATTATATTTTAAATTTATTTGGTTTCTGTAATTGGGATTTCTTCCTCAATAATAATAATAATAATAATGTATTATTAAAACGACGAATTTTGTTGTATGGTGGTTTAATAACGTTTTTAACAAAATAATTACACACAAATACAAAAGAGTTGAAACCGATTCCTTACAACACACTCAATGCTTTTTTGGAGTCAAAATCTTATGGTGGCATTTAGTAAATTCCACGGTGGTCTCTTCCGGAGTCTCTTGATTGTGTAAACACCGCTCCGCCACCTGTTGTATAACGGCGTCATCGTACCCGTCCTCCTTCAGCTTGGCTTTGATATTGTCACCCTGCAACTCGCCTGCTTCATTTTGGAATTTTACCTTTTTATGGACACAGAACATGTAAGCTCTTAGTTTGGGGTTGTCGTATTTCTGTACATTCATCTCGGCTAAAATTTCTGGGGTAACTCCTGACTGCTGCTCACACTTTGATACGGCTCGTTCATGTGCGACATCTCCGGTACACTAATGGTCAACAAAATAAGAAAGAGAAACTAAAGAGAACTGAATTACCTGAGTGTACACGCAGAAGGAGACGAAAAGAACTGCAAGGAACTTCATTTTGGACCACGACGAATGGCTGGTGGCATCGCCGGTTTAAATAGGATTTTGGGTATGATAACGGAGTGATAAATGAGTTAAAGGTGATGTCGATAATACAGAAAATTGTCAAAACAGATTTCTTTTACATGTTTGTTCTTTTGATGCTGTTTTCCGTGCGAGGAGTGAGTAGGACGAACTTCAAGGAATACCTGTGTAAACATAAATAGACGTACAGGAATGAACAGAAAGCCAAAACAAAATTCCTGGGAGTGATAAGGCGGTGGCAGTAATAACAATTTATATGAAATCATAGACAAAAGGTCAAGACAATTATTTATTTGTCCTTACGTGTAAATCCTTGACGCAATCTAATGTTTGTCAAAATATTATGATTCGCACTCACTATCGTTGTTTCGTCTTAAACCTTAACTGGTTACCTTGCGTAAATGATAAATTTTTCGATAAAAGAAGTAAAGTGATTACTCTTTGTTTTCATAAACCATGAAGTCTTTTCAATATCTCGTGTTCATAGCTCTCATCGTCGCAGCTCAGATACGTTATCATTACCACTATCAATTTTTCGACTGCGGAATTGATAAATTCTATATCAAAATTCCCAGTCTGTGTCAACTGGATGATCATTAATCAGTTTTAGTTTTTGTTCGATGTCGTTCGATTTAGTTTACAATTTCGATCGATATATTCAAAAGGAAAGTGGATGCTTTATTACTTAGAAATGTTGACATCGAAAAAGATTTCTCTAATTTAAATTTTGTATAGATTGTCTAAATTATAAATAGAACTAACTTCAGTTTTTTCTTGTACATTTCGTCCTCCAAGAGTTACTTTTGGCATCATTTCTTTGATAACTACTACTGTTTTTCCAGATTCGCGTTTTTTTAAATTGCAATTCAAACTTGGACCAAAACCATAAAAATAATATATTTTTGGAATCGGCACATCGAAATCTATATATCAGAATTTTTTGACGATTTGAAAATTTTGAAATTTTTCAACCACCTACGAAACTTAACTATAAATGTTTTCTTGTACAATTCGACCTCCAAAAATTACTTTCGGCCTCATTTCATTGATACCTTCTACAATTTTCCCAGAATCACCTATTGAAACATGACAATTTTTTGGATTTAAAAAAAATTGCACTTAAAATTGAATATTTCTAAAATCTTGGCCGGAGACCACAAAAACATTAAATTTTTGGACTCAGGACGTCGAAATCTATATTTTAGCATTTTTTGAGAACTTTTAGACAACTTTTATAAAACCAAAATTTTTCAAAATTAAAAATGATATGAAAATTTCGGAATTTATCGACCACCTTCGAAACTTAACGAGACATTTTCCTGTACATTTCGACTTCCAGAAGTTACTTTCGGAATTTCTTCAATAACTCCTATCACTTTTCCAGAATCGCTGTTACGATTTTGAAAAAAAATATTTTTGTTAAATTTTATACCATTTTATATTTTTTGATGCAAGTCGTTGAGATTTTTGTATATTTTTGGTAAATTTTTCCAAAACGCAATTTTTCACCCCGCGTATGAAATTTTTTACATTTTCAGCAAATTCGAAAATTACCGAAAAAGATTTTTTATAGATTTCCAGAAACGCCGTATGGTAAGTTTCAGGATTTTTTAAATTTTGATTGGGAATTTTAACGTGTCGAATCGCCAATATAGAACATGATATTATTTAGACTTTTTTTTAGTTTTCCTTAGAGTGAATCAATCTTGAACCTGAATCATAAATGTGTTATACTTTTCAAATCAGGCTGTCGAGATCTATATAACAGATTTTTTTGTAATTGTTTCAATTTTTTTAAAAACTCAAATCTTCAATACCGTATGAAATTTTTGATTTTTTTTGAGCAAATTGAAAAAATATCCGAAAAGATTTTTTTGTAGATTTCGACTTCCAGACTTTATTTTCGCATTCACTTCTTCGAAAATTCCTACCATTTCTTTTATTTTTATTATGAAATTTGGCAAATTTTAGGATTTTTCAACCAAATATTTTGAAAATTTTGATTCGTAATTATAAAAATGTTATATTTTTTTAATCAGGTCGCCGAGATCTATAGGTATAGCAGATTTTTGTGTGCATTTTTAGTCACGTTCCAAAAACCCAAAATTTTGATATTTTCTTGAGCAATTTAAAAAATTATCGAAAGAAATTTTTTGTAGATTTCGATCTCCAGATATTATTTTCGGCTACACTTCATCGAAAATTCTCACCATTTTTCCAGAACCGTTAATGCAAAATATGACAATTTTTAGAAGTTAAAAAAAATTACCCCCATAAACCGAATATTTTGAAAGCTTGATCCTGGATCATAAACATGTTATAGTTTTAGCATTTTGGGCAATTTTTTTATGAACAAACGATTAATGGCAGTTTATTTAGTTTGTTATAGAACTGGAATAAAAGTTTCAGGCAGTTTTATACGAGATTTCAAAAACAAACATGTTTGAAAATTAAATAAAAAAAATAGAAAAATTATAAAAATGAAACGTCGAAAATAGAAACATCAAAAGATCGAGAAATCGAGAAAATTAAAAAATGGAAAAGTTAGAAATTGAAAATTCAAATATTTAAAATAAAAAAAAGTCGATAAATCGAAAAATCGTTATTCTGGATTCTAGATTTTTGAATTTTGGATTTTAAGTAAAATTATTTGAATTAATAATAAAACGTCTATTGGAATATTAGTATTATTAAAAAAAGAAAAATCTGGAAATTGAACATCGAATAATCCAAACATCGAAATCTCGACAAAACCTGAAATCGAAAAATCAAAAAATTGGTCGGAGATTATTTCAACAGAAATTCCCTTACCCATAACGTACAGCTTGTCAAATCTTACGGGCTTTTCGAATAAACAAAATAGCTAGAAGTAATTGAGATTCTTACTCTGGATGATCATTAATCAGTTTTAGTTTTTGTTCGATGTCGTTCGATTTAGTTTACAATTTCCATCGATATATTCAAAAGGAAAGTGGATGCTTTATTACTTGGAAATGTTGACATCGAAAAAGATTTCTCTAATTTAAATTTTGTATAGATTGTTTTTTCTTGTACATTTCGTCCTCCAAGAGTTACTTTTGGCATCATTTCTTTGATAATAACTACTGTTTTTCCAGATTCGCGTTTTTTTAAATTGCAATTCAAACTTCGACCGAAACCATAAAAATACTACATTTTTGGAATCGGCACATCGAAATCTATATATCAGAATTTTTTGACGATTTGAAAATTTTGAAATTTTTCAACCACCTACGAAACTTAACTATAAATATTTTCTTGTACAATTCGACCTCCAAAAGTTACTTTCGGCCTCATTTCATTGATACCTTTTACCATTTTCCCAGAATCACCTATTGAAATATGACAATTTTTTGGATTTAAAAAAAATTGCACTTAAAATTGAATATTTTTAAATCTTGGCCGGAGACCACAAAAATACTATATTTTTGGACTCAGGACGTCGAAATCTATATTTTAGAATTTTTTGAGAATTTTTAGACAACTTTTATAAAACCAAAATTTTTCAAAATTAAAAATGATATGAAAATTTCGGAATTTATCGACCACCTTCGAAACTTAACGAAAGACATTTTCCTGTACATTTCGACTTGCAGAAGTTACTTTCGGAATTTCTTCAATAACTCGTACCACTTTTCTAGAATCGCTGTTAGGATTTTGGAAAAAAATATTTTTGTTAAATTTTGTACCATTTTATATTTTTTGATGCAAGTCGTTGAGATTTTTTGTATATTTTTGGTCAATTTTTCCAAAACGCAATTTTTCACCCCGCGTTTGAAATTTTTTACATTTTCAGCAAATTCGAAAATTACCGAAAAAGATTTTTTGTCGAATCGCCAATATAGAACATGATATTATTTAGATTTTTTTTTAGTTTCCCTTAGAGTGAATCAATCTTGAACCTGAATCATAAATGTGTTATACTTTTCAAATCAGGCTGTCGAGATCTATATAACAGATTTTTTTGTAATTGTTTCAATTTTTTCAAAAACTCAAATCTTCAATACCGTATGAAATTTTTTATTTTTTTTGAGCAAATTGAAAAAATATCCGAAAAGATTTTTTTGTAGATTTCGACTTCCAGACTTTATTTTCTCATTCACTTCTTCGAAAATTCCTACCATTTTTTTTATTTTTTATTATGAAATTTGGCAAATTTTAGGATTTTTAAACCAAATATTTTGAAAATTTTGATTCGTAATTATAAAAATGTTATATTTTTGTAATCAGGTCGCCGAGATCTATAGGTATAGCAGATTTTTGTGTGCATTTTTAGTCACGTTTTCCAAAAACCCAAAATTTTGATATTTGCTTGAGCAATTTAAAAAATTATCGAAAGAAATTTTTTGTAGATTTCGATCTCCAGATATTATTTTCGGCTACGCTTCTTAGAAAATTCCCACCATTTTTCCAGAACCGTCAATGTAAAATATGACAATTTTTAGAAGTTAAAAAAAATTACCCCCATAAACCGAATATTTTGAAAATCTTGATTCTGGATCATGAATCAACATGTTAAACTTTTTCGAACCAAGCTATCGAAAAATCTACAGATTAAGAAAATGTCTTGATAATTTTCGAAGTGGTGTTCAAAAAACGGTCAAAAACTTACATATAAAATGGTGATTCTTGAAAAATTGAACAAACGTTTTCAAAAATTCTGGATTATAGATCCCGACAAGTTAATTCGAAAAATATAAAACGTTAATTATTCTCTACCAAAGTTTGCGAAAAATTCCATTTGAAAACGATTTTTTTAACTTGAAAATAGTCATTTTTCATTTTATGGATTTTGAAAAAATTGTTGGAATTTTTGAAGAAATGACGCTGACAATAATTTTTACAAGCCGAAATATACAAGAAAATGACCTTGGCCAATTTTGCAATAGCGCTCTGATGGATAAACGGTCAAAAAATTATACGGGGACATCGAAAAAATGTGGTTTTTGAAAAATTGTCTAAAAATTCGCAAAAATTCTTGTTTATAGCTCCCGACGAGTTGATTCGAAAAACATAAGGTTTTTTTAATTGCTCTGAACGAAAATTTTCGAAAAATTCGGTTTAAAAATGATTTTCAACTCGAAAATCGCCATTTTTCAAGTTATCGATTTTGGAAAAATCGTTAGAATTTTCGAAGGGTGCTTGAAAGGTTTTTGAAAAATTCGATTTGAACATAAAAGTTTTTCTATCTCGAAAATTGCCATTTCTTAGCTTATCGATTCTGGAAAAAACTGATGTAATTTTCGAAACAATTAAGCCGAAAATACAAGAAAATATTTTTGGATAAATTTTGAGCTATGCTCGAAAAACAGTCAAAAATTTTTACGTGCCTAAAAATGTGTTTGTTTAAGATCCACCTTTCATTCAAAGTTGATAAAATTAATCACCGAAGTGGAGGCGGGTGGGTGGGCAGGGTTAGTTAAATGTTCTTCTGTAGAGTGAGAGTGGGAACTAATAGAAAAAAGCGCTAATCGTGACTTTTTTGTTGTATTATTTGTCATAAGATTTATTTCTTATTTCAGAAGAAAAAAAAAAATGAAAAAAACGGGTGGGTGGGCGGGGCTAAGTTGCTCTGGTGACTACTCTTAATACTGTTAAATACTGACAATAGTATTGTCTTATTAGAATCTTCTCATTTTCAAAACTTAATGAGGTCCCGAAAAGTCGAAAACTCGAAAAAGCGAGAAATCGAAAAACCGAAACATCGAAAAATTGAAAAGTTAAAAATTGAAAAACTGCAAAATTTGAAATAAAAAAAAGATAGATTGTAAAATCGAACAACTATAAAAAGGAAAAATTCAAAACCGAGAAATTGAACAACCTAAAATTTAAAAAAATGAAAAATTTGAGAACCATAAAATCCAACACCAAAAAAACGAGAGATCTAAAATTCAAAAGATCGAAAAAGTGAAAATAGAGATAAATTGAGATTTCGAGAAATCGAAAAGTCGAAAAAGGAAGTTGAAAAACCGAAAATTTAAAAAACGTTACATGAAAAAGCAAAAACCTGAAAAATCGAAGTATTGAATAATCGGAAAATTGAAAAACCGAACAATGGATTAATTCAGAAATTGAAAAATAAAAATTGAGACATCAAAAATATAAGGAAGTCAAAAATCGAAAATTTGGAAAACAAGAATTGAAAAATTGAAGAATCGAAAAATTGAAAAATTATATTACTGAAACATTGGAAAATTAGGAAATCGAAAAATTGAAAAATCTAAACATCGAAAAATTGAAAAATTGAAAATTCGAACAATCGAAAAATTGAATTAGTGAAAAACTGAAAAATTCAAACATGAAAAATTCCCAAAATTAAAATGTTGAAAGATTCAGAAATTGAAATCTTGAAGAATCGAAAAGATGGAAAATTTTAAAAATCAAAAAACGGGATGTCAAGAGATCGAGTCAAAAAACTCCAAAAATTAAAACATCAATAAACCGAAAAATCAAAAATTTAAAAATTGAAAAACTGAATAATAGAAATAGAAAAACTGAGAGAAAATTCGAGAAATTGAAAAATTCCAAAACTGAGAAATCGACAAATTGAAAAACTGAAACGTCGAAAATGAGAGCATCGAAAGATTGAGAAATCGAGAAATCGAAAAGTCGAAAAATCGAGAAATGGAAATAGCCCAAAATTGAAAAATCGAAAAGTTAGAAATTGAAAAATTTTAGAATTTTTGATTTTAGTTAAATTTAATTAAATTAAATTATATATGTATTATATACATAATTATGTGCACCACTCAACGAAAAAGCATACATAAAAAAATATATATTAAAAAAAAACATTAAACGAAACATTATAGAACCAATATTTTGTGTAACAAACAAAAAGATTATTAAATAAATAAACGATCTATACTCGTAGTTACGTCCACTAATTCTAAGTTATCGCAAAAAAATTGTGCTCAAATTAAAGCAAGTCGCATTTAACAAAAAATAAAATATTAATTCAGGTATTTAATATGAGTTACAAAAGCAAACTATATATTCCTCTAAATTTTCGATTGTAAATTTACACCTTTGATGGCTTAAAACACTTTTAAGTTTTGAAAACGTGCGATCCACATCACAAGAAGTGATGGGTGCAAAATTAAATATTGAACAATCTACGTTTTCATTTATGTATTTATTGTTGGTAGCATTTCCATTACCGCAAATTACGTCAATTACTGAACATATAAAATCGTATCCTGGATTTTATATACTAACTTTATTCCATGGAATATTTGTAAATGCTCTACATAAATCGGTGCAAAATTGCGTAAAATCATTGTCGGAACGAATGTTTAATAAACTCTGTTCACTGGATTTATTCTCGTTCTTTTTATGTACTTCGCCACTGCAGTGTTGTTCAAAGTGTGATTTTTTTTCGCACTTAAACTAGGAAACAAAAATGTGAACATAATTCAAACGTCAGTATTTTAAATGTTTACTTACAACTTTTCCACACACTTTGCAAGTATAACTCATTGTCTTTGGTTGAAGAAGGAAATTGAAAATTAGTGTCCAAATTATTCCCTAACCATAATTTGATTGTATCTTTCATGGATGATTTTACCTTAGGCATTTTGAGGATTCTTTACTGTATGCACAAAAATCAAAACCGGCCCCAGCACTTTAGGTCTCTAACCGTAAATTAGGCATTTTAGACAGTAATAAATGGGCGTTAAATAAACAGAATTTTTTAAATTCGGATAAATATACAAATTTCGCTGCAATGCCTGAAGGGGATATAAAAAGGCAAAAAGCTAAGATCCGAAGCCTAGTAATAACAGAGGTGCAACTGAAGACTGAACTAAAAATCATTTATGGCACTCCTAATTTAAGACAAATAGCGATAACACTTATCAATCTGTAGACGTGAGAGGGAAACAGTATCTAAACTAAACGGTGTTTTCTACGACTTGCAATAACCGCATCACAGTGCCGACGGTCCAGACATTGTTATATATATTATATTATATTTATGTTTCTACGTTATGTTATTATTATTTTCGATTTTGAGTAGGTATATTATATTATAAGTTTGTTTGGTTTCTGCAATTGGGATATCTTCCTCAATAACTAGTAATATTATGATTATTAGTAATAAAACGACGAATTTTGTTATATTGTGGTATAATAAAGTTTTCTCGAGAAAAATAACAAAATAATTACACACGAACTTTCCTCACAACGGACTTAATGATGCTTTTTCGGATGCAACAGATTCCAGCTGCATTTAGTAAATTCCACGGCGGTCTTTTCGGGAGTATCTTTGTTGTGGCAACACTGCTCTTCCACCTGTTGTATAACGGCGTCATTGTGTCCATCTTTCTTCAGCTTGGCTTTGATATTGTCGACCTGCAACTCGCCTGCTTCGTTTTGGAATTTCACCACTTTTTGGACACAGTGTATATAAGCTCCTAGTTTGGGGTTGTCGAATTTATGTGCTTGCATCTCGGCTAAAATCTCTGGGGTAACTCCTGACTGCTGCTCACACGCTGTTACGGCTTGTTCATGGGCGAGATCTCCGGTACACTAATGGTCAACAAAATAAGAAAGAGAAAATAAAGAGGACTGAGTTACCTGAGTGTACACGCAGAAGGAGACGAAAAGAACTGCAAGGAACTTCATTTTGGACCACGACGAATGGCTGGTGGCATCGCCGATTTAAATAGGATTTGGGGTGTGATAAGAGAGTGATAAATGAGTTAAAGGTGATGTCGATAATGCAAAAAATTGTCAAAACAGATTTTTTCTGCATGTTTGTTGTTTTGATGCAGTTTTCGTGGTTGTTGGGTGTAAGTAAGGAAAATCGAATTATGTGTGTGAAGTGGGTACTAAGACACAGAAAAGTTTAAGGAATACATGTGTAAACATGAATAGAGGTACAGAATTGAACAGGAAGCCAAAAAAAATTCCTGGGAGTGATAAGCCGGTCCCAGAAAAAACAAATCGAAAAAGTCAAAGGTCGTGGATATGTCAGTCGCTAATTATTATTATTGTTGTTGATATTAAAAAAAAAGTACTGCGAACCTCATGTGACTGCCCACCAATAATCAAAGTCACCATTGTTTTAGACTGAACTATTGTCCACCATGATTTTTAAACCAAAGTACCATTTTGAATTTTTGGCAGTACCTGCACACATTTGGTTTCAATGTCAATAATGTTTTAGAACTTAAGGTATCTAATGTGTACAAAAAATTCACATTTTTTATGAATAATAAATACACAAATAAACATATTTATGAACTTTGCTAACCCACAAAGATAAAACGTTATGTAATTTCTGCTGACAATAAAGTTATCAGAATTTTATTAATTCATTTAATTGGCTGATATTATATCTTTTATTTAAATAATAAACGCAAATATTTTCAGGAAAAGTCATCCGTCTTGAAGTAAACAGATTATCATATAATTATTATCAAGTAGACCAACAATTAACCCATGTTTCTATGTATTTCTCTATGTTAGGTGTAAATTGTGGTACCTTGAAAGAAACAAATTTGCTAAAAAAGTTGCTGTGTTGTCAAAAACAAAAACTTTCCACTAACTTACATAATATTGTAATAAAAATAATTAGTTTTGATATGGTATGCACTCATTATCATTGTTTTTTGACTTAGACCCCTGTGTTGATCTTGCGCTACTGATAAACATGTCTATAAAAGAAGCAAACTGCTGACTCCAGTGCACTTTCTTTATCTCCAACAACCATGAAGTCTGGTGTTCGCAGCTTTCATCGTCGTAGATCAGGTACATTATCATTATCACTATCAACTTGCCGCTTGAGAAAATGATAAATTCTGTGTCAAGCATTTCCAGTCTCTGATAGACGAGCCAAGAACCAATTAGAAAAAAATGGAGCAACGACTTTTCACCGTAGACGACAAAGTCAAACTCACGGTTTATGTTTCGACAAGAAATTCAGTCTCATTGATAAGGGAGGCCAACATTTTTGAAATTTGTTTATAGCAAGTATCACAAGACCGATAAGTTGATAACAATTCATATGAAATCATAGACAAAAGGTCAAGACAATAATTTGTCCTTACATGTAAATCCTAGACACAATCTAATGTCTGCCAAAATATTATGATTTGCACTGACTATCGTTGTTTCGACTTAAATCTTCATGGTTATGTTGCGTCAAAGATAGATTTTTCTATAAAAGAAGCAAACTGATTACTCCGATCATTCTTTGTTTTCATCAACCACTATCAATTTTTCGCCTGCGGAATTGATAAATTCTATATCAAAATTTCCAGTCTGTGACAACGGGGGCAAAATGCATCTTCGAATGCCAAAGTGAAACTGCAGTTACATTGGAAGCTTTAGATAATATCAGGTTTAATGACTTTTCCGCCGTAGACGATAAAGTCAAAGCGTTCATTCTATGTCGTCGACAGCAACATTTGAAAACCGAAAAATTGAAAAAATAAAGAAAATAAAAAACCGAAACCAAAAACTGCACATCGAAAAATTGAAAAATCGAAAAATAAAAAAATTAAAAACTGAAAACTCGAGAAACTCAAATCGAAAAATTGCAAAAGGTAAAAATTGAAAAATTGAAAAACTGAAAAATTAAAAACTGAAAACTCGTGAAAGATAAATTTAAAAACTGAAATATCCAAAAGTTAAAAAATTAAAAAACTGAAAACTTTAAAACTGCAAACTCGAAAAATTGCATTGGTAAAATTAAAGAACCAAAAAAATGAAAAATTGAAAAATCGTAAATCGATAAGTTTAAGAAACGAAAAATTGAAAAGAAGAAAACAAAAAATTATATAATCCTAACATTGGAAAATCGAAAAATTATAAAAAGAACGAAAAGAAAAACCGAGACGAAAAATTCCAAATCGAAAAATTAAAGAAATGGAACAACGAAAAATTCAAACATTAAAGATTTAAAAATTGGAAACTCCAGAAATTTTAAATAGAGAAATTACAAAAACTAAAAATTTACGAAACAAGAAAAACGAGAAATTGAAAAATCGCAAATTAAAAAAGTGGCGAAACAACAATTGGAGAAATTAAAATTGAAAAAAAAGTTTATAATCGAAACATTGAAATATCGGATGATTGAAAAAATAAAGAAAATAGAAAACCGAGAGGAAAATTTGAGAATCTAAAAACTGAAAAATTCAAAAATCGAGAAAGTAAAAAATCTAAAATTAAAAAAACGAAAAATTCAAAAATCTGAAAGTTGAAAAATCGAAGAATTGAAAACCGAAAAATTGAATACACCAAAAAGTGAAAAATTTCACATTGCAGAAAAAAAATATAAAATGAGAACATTTGAAAACCGAAAAATTGAAAAAATAAAGAAAATAAAAACCGAAACCAAAAACTGCAAATCGAAAAATTGAAAAATCGAAAAATATAAAAATTAAAAACTGAAAACTCGAGAAACTCAAACCGAAAAATTGCAGAAGGTAAAAATTGAAAAATTGAAAAACTGAAAAATTTAAAACTGAAAACTCATGAAAGACTAAATTTAAAAACTGAAATACCTAAAAGTTAGAAAATTAAAAAACTGAAAACTTTAAAACTGCAAACTCGAAAAATTGAATTGGCACAATTAAAGAACCAAAAAACTGAAAAATTCAAAAATCGAGAAAGTGAAAAATATAAAATTGAAAAAACGAAAAATTCAAAAATGTGAATGTTGAAAAATCGAAGAATTGAAAAACGAAAAATTGAAAACACCAAAAAGTGAGAAATTTCACATTGCAGAAAATAAATTATAAAATGAGAACATTTGAAAACCGAAAAATGGAAAAAATAAAGATATTAAAAAGCCGAAACCAAAAACTGCAAATCGAAAATTTGAAAAATCGAAAAATTAAAAAATTGTAAACTGAAAACTCCAGAAACTCAAATCGAAAAATTACAAAAGGTAAAAATTGAAAAATTGAAAAACTGAAAAATTAAAATCTGAAAACTCGTGAAAGACTAAATTTAAAAGCTGAAATATCCAAAAGTTAAAAAATTAAAAAACTGAAGACTTTAAAACTGCAAACTTCAAAAATTGCATTGATAAAATTAAAGAACCAAAAAAATGAAAAATTGAAAAATCGTAAATCGATAAGTTTAAGAAACGAAAAATTGAAAAGAAGAAAACAAAAAATTATATAATCCTAACATTGGAAAATCGAAAAATTATAAAAATAACGAAATGAAAAACCGAGACGAAAAATTCCAAATCGAAAAATTAAAGAAATGGAATAACGAAAAATTTTAAAATTAAAGATTTAAAAATTGGAAACTCCAGAAATTTTAAATAGAGAAATTACAAAATCTAAAAATTTAAGAAACAAGAAAAACGAAAAATTGAAAAATCGCAAATTAAAAAAGTGGAGAAACAACAATTGGAGAAATAAAATTGAAAAAAAGTTTAAAATCGAAACATTGAAAACTCGAATGATTGAAAAAATAAAGAAAATAGAAAACCGAGAGGAAAATTTGAGAATCTAAAAATTGAAAAATTCAAAAATCGAGAAAGTGAAAAATCTAAAATTGAAAAAAGGAAAAATTCAAAAATCTGAAAGTTGAAAAATCGAAGAATTGATAACCGAAAAATTGAAAACACCAAAAAGTGAAACATTTCACATTGCAGAAAAAAAATTATAAAATGAGAACATTTGAAAACCGAAAAATTGAAAAAATAAAGAGAATAAAAAGCCGAAACCAAAAACTGCAAATCGAAAAATTGAAAAATCGAAAAATAAAAAAATTAAAAACTGAAAACTCGAGAAACTCAAATCGAAAAATTGCAAAAGGTAAAAATTAGAAAATTGTAAAACTGAAAAATTAAAAACTGAAAACTCGTGAAAGACTAAATTTAAAAACTGAAATACCCAAATGTTAAAAAATTAAAAAACTGAAAACTTCAAAACTGCAAACTCGAAAAATCGCATTGGTAAAATTAAAGAACCAAAAAAATGAAACATTGAAAAATCGTAAATCGATAAGTTTAAGAAACGAAAAACTGAAAAGAAGAAAACAAAAAATCATATAATCCTAACATTGGAAAATCGAAAAATAATAAAAATAACGAAAAGAAAAACTGCCACGAAAAATTCCAAATCGAAAAATTAAAGAAATGCAATAACGAAAAATTCAAAAATTAAAGATTTAAAAATTGGAAACTCCAGAAATTTTAATCAGAAAAATTACAAAATCGAAATATTTAAGAAACAAGAAAAACGAAAAATTGAAAAATCGCAAATAAAAAAAGTGGAGAAACAACAATTAGAGAAATTAACATTGAAAAAAGTTTATAATCGAAACATTGAAAACTCGAATTATTGAAAAAATAAAGAAAATAGAAAACCGAGAGGAAAATTTGAGAATCTAAAAACTGAAAAATTCAAAAATCGAGAAAGTGAAAAATCTAAAATTGAAGAAACGAAAAATTCAAAAATCTGAAAGTTGAAAAATCAAAGAATTGAAAACCGAAAAATTGAAAACACCAAAAAGTGAAACATTACACATCGCAGAAAAAAATATATAAAATGAGAACATTTGAAAACCGAAAAATTGAAAAAATAAAGAACATAAAAAGCCGAAACCAAAAACTGCAATTCGAAAAATTGAGAAATCGAAAAATAAAAAAATTAAAAACTGAAAACTCGGGAAACTCAAATCAAAAAATTGCAAAAGGTAAAAATTGAAAAATTGAAAAACTGA